CCGTTGCCGCTCATCGTAGTGGTGACCAGACCCTAAAGACTGGGAGGTTCGTCGTGGGTTCGCGCCACGGTCGGACAGGCTGGCTGCTTGGAGTTTTCCGGGTTTTCTCCTTGCCTATAACGACTGAATAGGAGGCCAGTTCCCCATAAAAGTCCTCCCGGAAGGCATTTATTTCCCGCGCGTACGTATGGCTGTTCGATACAGCCGGCTAATCGGTCGCCTAGCGATCATACACATACACAAGTCTACTCGGAGAAAGAGCCTACATTGAGCTAAAATCTCCATATAAACACCATCGAAGAAGAAGAAAGAAAGAAAGAAAGAGAGGTGATCCTCTCAGCGCCCGTCTTAACACTCCGACGGCCATCGTTTCGGATGGAAAATCAGTTCTCCAGGCAGTCGCCAACGTTAATTTTTCCTCTCCAGCGGTTATTATTGACCTAGCTGCAACTATCAGCTCCCACCCAACACCCCTTGAAATCGGGTGGACTCTTGGTCACGTTGGCATTCACATAAATGAAGCGGCAGACCAAGCCGCTAGTCGAAAAAGACGAAAAAGGCGCGAAATTCAACCGCCATCTTGGTGTGCTCATTTCGTTCCTCGATTTCAGTGATTTTAAGTAACTCTTTCCTGTGACTTTACTACAGTTCCTTATTCTTTAGCTTCTGATCTTCCTCTTTGTCCTCTTCTCTGTCCAGGTTGGAGTTTTCCTCTTTCTTTCAGCCGGAGTGGCTTCTCCTCCGGACTCGGTAATGGCGTCGCCCTCGCGCGAACGCCTTCAAAAGCCACCATCGGGATCGGAAGCACTCGTAACTTCTGACGAATTAAGATTTATTTCTCCTCTGTCGGAATTGGAGAAATTCTTCTGCATCCGTTCGTCCTTCCTTCAGACCAAATCTATACGATTTTTCTGGAAGGACAGGGACCTCTCCGACGTCTTCGTCCGGCTGAGCTCCACGCGGCCCTCAAACTGCATTTCCCCCCGACCGGAATTGCTGCTAGATGTCCGCTACTCCCGTAATGGTCTTCTAATAATCAAAACTCGGGACCAAGAAGCCGCAGAGGCGGCCCTTCGTATTCCCGATATTGCCGGGATACCAGTCTGTGGCCGTCTGGCCCCGGACTGTGAACATACCGCTTACCTCCTTCGTGGGGGTGGGTCCGTCGATCACAGCCCAAGAAATTCACGATATACTTTCGGACTCCCACCTTCCAATCCTAGAGATACGTCGTTTTACACGACGGGACGGGGATAACATCGTGCCTAGCTTCACGGTTTACTTCTCAGTGGCCAGTGCCTCCCCGCTGGAATCCGTTACTATCTATTACCAACGATACCACTGTGAGCGATATATTCCTCGCCCACGCCAATGCAGGCGATGCCTCAATTTTGGCCACTCGCCCACGACATGCTGCGGCCGGCTGTGTGCGTTGCGGAGGAGAACATTTTGCGGATTCTCCCCGCTGCCCAGCCTATCAGCAAGAGGCACGCCTGTTAAAATTCAGCGCCATCCAGCGCTGCTCTTATCTAGAAGCCAAGCGCTCGCAGAGCAACTCCCCAAAATCATATGCAAGAGTGGCCTCAACTTCCCCCCCAAACTGCCCGAGAAGACCCCTCGTAGTGAAAAACAGCTAGCTCTCTCTATTATTAATGGACAGACAGATGATATTTTGATCCTCACCAATCGTATTTCCCAATTGGAATCCATAGTGGAGAAGCTATGCGCGGAGTTAAATCTTCTTTGCTCGATCATTCAGTCTACCCCGCTTAACCCAACTCAGGGTTCCCTCCGTGAGCCGAGTCTGGACAAGGATCTGACCGTGTCCACGTCAGATAAGCGTTCTTCCCACCCGACTGGCCCTTTGACTCCAGCACAACTTCCAAAGAAGAAGAAAGGACCTAAGCCTCGTCCCTCCAATCCATTGACGGCATTCGACTCAGAAGGTCCAAATTCGGACATGGACCACACGTACTCCACGGGGTCCACAAGAGTAACTCCCCTAGAAGACACCTGCATTGCTTCCCCAGCCGAGAAGGCTAAACTTCGCCGCCACCCGCACAATACCCCCAAGCCTAGTGTCTAACTCCTCAAGCAACTTGCAAAATCTCCGCTTGATACACTGGAACGCGAGAGGTCTTCGTTCCAAACGTAATCTCCTTTTGGCGGCGTCTTGGCTACGTACCGTGGACATCATCCTGGTACAGGAGGCGTGGCTAACTCCTGAAGTGGTCTTTTCCATTCCAGGATTCACTCTTTTCCGCCAGGATCGCATCTCTGCTCAGGAAGGGGTCTCCTAACAGCGGTCTCCCACCGGTGGCCCGCCCGCCAACTGCCCCCTGGACCCAAGATCACCGGCACCGAATATCAAGAGACCTTGGTATACTTTTCACGGGCTCTTCTCTCCCCTGTTAATGTATATTCTCCATACGGCATCTTTTCGGCTGTTTCACTGGACCCCCTTTTGCGGGGCAATCACCACCCTCTCATAGTGTGCGGGGACTGGAACGCTCATCATCCTTATTGGGATAACGAGTGCAAACGCCCCAGACATCGCGGGCCGCACCCTCTTCGATTGGTTCTCATCCGCGAACTTATGACGTTGGAACTCAGGGGAACCAACTTATTTCCATCCAAACGGATCATCAGCTTTAGACCTGATCTTCTACTCCCCGGATCTATTAGGTTCCACTTTATGAAGCCCTTGCGTGGACGCCTTAACCAGTGACCACGCTCCTATTTCGATCACTCTATCCCGGCACCCCTAACCCGACGACTACCCCTCGTTTACACTTTTCAACAAACTGGAGTCGTTATTCAAATAACCTCGATCAGCTTTGGACTACCGAGGAATCGATTCCCACCTCGTATAACGCCTTTGTAGACACTATCCGTGAGACGGTTTCCTCTAATACTATAATTCACTCCATTCCCTCCTCGGGTCAACCACCGTGGTGGATCCCTGAATGCAGCCGCCTAAGAGCGCTTAAGTGATATATTTTTGCCATTATAAATTTAACTTAAATAAAATGTAATTTTAAGAGTTTCTTGGCATTTTTAATGAAGATGTGATGCACCAAACTGTTTACTCTAATATTTAATTTGTTCAAACTCAAACGTTGTGTCAAATAATGCACTTAAGAAATTTACAAATCTTAAACTATAGTGTATAGTCCTTGAGCATCAGCACCCTCAATGTAAAACGCGCCACGTACCAAGGATAAACTTTTACCGTCTATCTGTAATCAACATATTAATTACAATAAAATCACTGTTTATCAGTGCTGCCGCCTGCTCCTGGTGGAACTACCCTAACGGTGCTTCCGTTTTACCCTAGATTTACCCCAAATATAAGACTACCCTAAACAGTACCTAAAAGGTTGAAATTACGTAGAAACGGCAGCACTGTTGACGGCTTTAACACGTTGCGGCAGAAGTTTTAGTATTACTTAATTATTTGAAGAATAATGATTTCACCGAAAAATAATAATTTTCTATTGATTTTAGTAGTAAATTAATATTTATTATAATTATATATTTTTATATTTTATTTTATATTTAAATTATTTATGAATTGTAAGCAGAGGGCGTTCGCGACTCAGTGGAAGAGGTGAGATTGTGGAAGGTTAACTTTATCATTTTAAAGGTAATTTTTTTTTAATAAATATACTTCTTTAAATAGCTTTTAATGCATAAATAACGTATAAATTTTTAATTTTTTTAGATTTGTTTGCGATTAAAGGTATAAAATTTTACTTTTGAGTATGAAATTGAATTGTTGCTGCTTGTTACTGTGTTTATTGATCTGTTGTACAATTTTACCTGAAACTGTGCATTAATTTACATGTTTTAAATGAAATTATCAGGGTAAAATGTTAACTCTGGATGAAGGGTTTACCAACCCCAGAATTGTACGAGCAAAAATGTCAAAGGAACCGTATCTATATGCAACCTCTTGCAAGATATTTGCCTCTTAAGGTCAGTTTTTACAGTGTACCAGTATACTGCCTATTCTCCCTGCTCCGTGTCAGTTGAGGCTTGCCTGGACCGTTGCTCCACGTGTAGTCGTGCACTTCAGAGCTTGTTATCATTTACATCTCGGCACCCGCAAAGGAGGCAGGCCACACGCTCCCTAAAACCGACAATCAGATGGTTGAGCAGTCGAGGTAATGCCTACTGCTCTGGGGGATTTCGGATCGAATCCAGATGGGTCAAAAAGTCCCTGGGAATTTTTTGGGGCTGGTCCAACCGGATATGTTGGTTCTTGTCCCTCACCACTTGGTTGCCTTACCATTGTGGGCCTGGCCGAACTCATAATGGGCCTGAACTCATAATGGGCCTGCTAAAAGAGTCCCTCTTAGTGCCCACAGGGCAGAAAGAGTTTAAAAAAATCCTAAAACTATATAACATTGAGTGTCTTACAAACAGTTGAGTGGGCTACTCAAAGCTGGCTTAGTTGCATGGGCTAAATAGTTAAATGGAATAGTCTTGACAGAGCAATGAGATTTCCAATGTGTGTGACTTGGAAGTAGGCAGCTATCGGGGAGACCGTATCACATGTAGAGGTACAGTTCCTTTAGTTTTTTTCATTCCTGGGTGTGGTCTATGGCTCTAATAAGGTCCCAATTGTCTCATTCAGAAGTTTAATTCTACCAAATAAACACATATTATTGCAAATCATATTTTTTATTGACCAAAATTTCTCTACATTACAGCTGTATGGAGTCACTCTATATATTACAGTAAGCATTAGTCTTAGCCACAATTGACACTGGTGAATGCTAAAATTAGAGCTTCGAGTGAGTTGATTGGGATTTTAACAGAGCTGTAGACCATGTCTGGAAGAGTAAAAACTAGTAAAATGAAAAGCAATGGTTTGCATGTGATTCTTTGCAAGATACTGTTACAATATCTGGACGAGGTTGCTTGTTAAATTCAAGATTGCTTAATAGAGTGGGCAATGTGACTCTGATTCTGTCCCAGAAATAGTCTGTGCAATGGTGTTCATTGTTTTTTGAGCTTTTAGTTGTCTCTAGTAAAATGGTTAATTTTTAATATTATGAAATTTAATTTTATTAAAGGATATTTATTCATTTGTTTTTAGTTATTATTTTATTTATTTATTTATTTTATTAATTTCATCTGCAATTGCTGTTATTTGTTTATTTATTGTTTTGAGAAATAATTCTGGATTTTTTTACTTTTAAATTTTACTTCATATTTGAGGTTCTTCAAAATTTCATATAGGTCATTTTTGGGGGACTTCTTGCAGAGAGTCACATGTAGACCATCGATTCCTTTTGTGTTTTTTTACTCCTAAAAAAATCCTGGGCATGATATATGGCTCTGATAAGGTCCTGACTGCCTCATTCTGAGCTGCAATTTTATCTCCAGCTAAAACTGATGCACTGGTGAAGGGTCTAATAAGCTTTTACTGGAATGTCTGACAACCTGACATGACATTCCCATGCTATATGGCATTTTGCAGACATTTGTCAAAATAACTTCAGATTAATGCAGACAAGTAGTAAAAATGACATTAATTAATTAATAATATAACTGTGGAGGCAGACATATTGTTCCATCAGAGCTTACCATATCCTCAGATTAATGAGTGTGACGTGCATCGGTTGCTGTACTGACAAGCTTGTCGGTGAATATCGGAACACATTTTAGTATATTGTGATTCACTAATGCACTGTTTGATATATACTGGAATGTAGCCATTAATTCTCTAATGATATTTAGAAGTCTAGTTCTTTTTCTTTGGGTAAGTATATCAGTACTTATCCATCGTTTATGATAAAGAAAGCAGATTTTAACAGATTATTGGAAAATCAGTATTCTGCCCATTTCTTTGAGGCAGGTGTGATCACTGATCCTAGAATCTTATTGATAAAAGTCACCGTAAGAATTATGAGTAATTATAACTAATTATTTATTTTTTATATATATATAAAATTTATGCTTCCTGTCTTATGCCAATATTGGGACCAGACTGTAGTCTACACAAATGCTTCAATTCTAACTCTTTAGTTTATGGTTCCTTTTACTCCATTTCCTTTTATATATATCAATATTGTTTATAAACAATAAATACAGTAATTAAATTTTTTTTTATATCGACTGAATGCGTGCAACATAAGAGGCATTTCATCACTGAATCATCAGACTTCTTTTTAGAACTGTAACCTGTTTACATTTGGAGTTGGTCCATTTTTAGCAACTCCACAGTTCCTGTTAAGGCAATGGCACTCTATGCACCCACCTATAGCTCCATTCATGATTTCGTCGATCAAGCAACTCGGTCTACTAAATGCCGAACCATTCTGGTTCATCTGCTGATAATGAAACCTAGTGATAATGCTCGGAAAAAATCCAATACTATTAATTAATACAAAATTAAGTTAGATACTGTATTATGGATAGATTATGGAAGATATGATTTGTTAATTATATTTAAACAAATTTTTTTTAAAAAGAAATTTTAAAAAATGGAAAATGCTGTACCAGTCAATGGATTTTAATTATTAGTATTTAGAAAAACAGTCCAATATGTTGCATTGGAGCTAAATGTTTCCATTAACATCATTTAGATTATCAAATTTGTCAGAAATTTTCACATTGGATTGAAAAATCTAACAAAGTATTATTTTAATTATTTAAACTTATAACATTAAGTTTTAGTTGGTAACTTGGTTCTTAAATCTGGAAGTATTTGAAAATTTTTATATAAAAAATGAATACATTCCTGAAAAAGGAATTATTTTTAGTAGTAGTATTGATTGTATCTTCATGAAAGAATTATTTCCTATTTGAGATCACAGCAATCTTATAAATAAAAGGGGAATTTGGGACATAGTCAACTGGACAACAGCAAGTGGACAACGGGCAGCTGGGTGCAGGACATAGGGCAACAAATAAGAGATGAATAAATACAAAGTTTGTCATCACCTAAACATCAGGGTGAGATTATCACTTCGTCAAGAACTTGTTACCAATGTGCTTTGTGAAAATACAGTTTATCACAAATGCTTTTGAATTTTTGAACAGTTCTTCAGGTGAAATCTGATGGAACGTGAATATTTAAAACAAATTGAACTCCTGTTAGACAAAATCTGTTGCGACAGGCATGCGCATTCGTTGGTGGATGGTAATTAAGGGTCGGCTTCTATGAGGATCTGCCAGGCTATTTACAGAGCTAATCGCAGCACCACCTGCATCAACCGGAAAGAGGAGTTCAATCTATCGCTAGCCTGGCAGACCCTCATAGAAGATGACCCTTAATTACCATCCACCCACAAATGCGCATGCCCGTCGCAATGGATTTTGTCTAACAGGAGTTCAATTTGTTTTAAATATTCACGTTCCATTTTGAAGCGTTCCATCAAATTTCACTTGAAGAAGAACTGTTCAAAAGCATTTGTGATAAACTGTATTTTCATGAAGCACATTGGTAACAAGTTCTTGATGAAGTGATAAGAGACAAATAATAGACAAAATATAAAATTTTTAAATGTTTTTAGAAAAATTACCATTTTTTTTCTAATGATCTACCACCCAGTAATATTTTTTGAGAAACAAGTTAAATGAGTTAAAAGAATGACTTACTTAACAAACATTTATACATATTACATACATTATTTATTTTTACAAGTATATAGAAAAGTCTTAGAGCCTGTACACACTAGGTGTTTTTCCCATTAAACGCGCGTTTTAAAGAACCAAGAGTTCTATGTAGCCGTACACACTCAAACGCGCACTTTTAGATTTTTGTTAAAACGCGCGCTTTGCGGGCGTTAGCCGAGCACTTTGAGATATATGTGCTGCCATGTTACTGTACATGCGATTGCGCGTTTTCCCGGTGCTTTACGGGCACTTCTAGATTTACGCCGCCATTTTGCTGTATATTCGATCGCGCGCTTTTGGGTAATATCTACTTTTATAATATGGAGTAAGTCGTCAAATGATTTTACAGATATTTTAAAAGAATTAAAAAACTTGAATTTATTTTGTCTTAGTTTTGGATACAACGTCGCAAACATTTCATGCGTCAGTCTATCTTGTAATATTGGGTGCACCCAAAATTCTCTTTGCCTCTGCTGTCGTCTTTTATAGCGACGATAGAGGAGCCACACACAAGCAATCACTTCCACATCCATTTCCAAACTGAGCCAGTGCGCACGCTCCGCTAAACGCTAACGCGACAAGCGTTTAACGCGCGTTTAAAAACACCTAGTGTGTACACAGCCTTAAAGGACAGTTGATATCTACCTCAAAATTAACAAAGATATACAAAAACAAAGATGACAATTACATAAAATTAAAGATACATTATGTTATACATTGAATAAATTAAAACAAAAAGATATAAAAGTTCTTTAAAACAATTGTTTCAAAGAACTGCTTTTCTTTGATATGATTTGTTAACTGCTTCTGACATAAAAATATTAACATTGATAAACTATTAATATGTTGTTCCAAGACATTTCCTTTTTTAAGTTGGAAATAACTTGTAAATCATAGTTCATAACGTATAACTCGTACCTGGTAAGTCTTAATCATATTTATATTTATATATATTTTACCAATATTTACAAAATGATGATGATAAATAAATAAATAAATATCTGCAAAATCATATGCTAGCTAAGTGTGCGAAATTTTTAAGTTTCTGTCACCCAAATGATGGTCACCCAGTTAATCATTGTCCACTTGACTATTGCCCATTTGGAGTCATGTAGTTGACTATTGTCCAGTTGACAGTCCTCCAGTTCTTGTATAACTGGGGAATTTTGTTTGTGGCACTTTAAACTGTTACATCTGTATGATGCATTTGCAAACATGTTTCTGTTTGGAATCAATGCCATTGAATTTTGTTATCTTCTATTTCAAAGTTTTTAGGATGTCTATTTTTTTTATTTATTTATACACTTTCCTGTGAGCCTGTTCCATTAAAGTAAATGCAATTTCTAGTTAACCAGAATCCACTGTATAATCAACTTTTATTTCCTCTTGAAATAAAGATCTTACATCAATTTAAGTTGTCTTCTTACAGATTACTCTAAGAATTACTTTTTACATCATTGGAGAAAAGTTGTTTAATCTTGAAAATATTTCTGTAAAATTAAATAAATAAATTTAAGAAAGGATGAAATTCATTGACACTGCAATGGAAGCTCAACCCGAGCATTGCCAGATACATCAGCTATTTTATAGTTTATGTATAGTAACTTAGATCTACATTTAAAATCAATGAATTAATTTTAATTACATCAAATTGTGAAATTTCTTCACTTAGTAGAATTCTTTTCAATAATTTTTTAAGAGTATTCTTTCCCCCATCATCATTACAAATAAAAATAGTTTATGTGAAATTAAAGATTTAAATTGTTAATTAATTAGAAATTTTCAAAAGTTTTACATGAACAAAATACAAATCATAAAAACTTAATTTTTTTTCTGAATTTAATATTTTATCCAAAAATTGGTCATTATACACAAAGGTTGCAATTTGTTCTGTTTCAGTTTTGTCTAAAACACATTTTTAAACTAAATTCTATCTGTTCTCCTTCTGTTCAACAATTTTGTAATACAAAATCCAAAATGCCTGTTGTTAATTGTATTAGAAAATACATATTTATCCCTGCGACACAATAAAGATCCAGTCAGGTGAGGTGAGGTATTTACTACCTCACTTAGCTGGCTATCTTCTTGAACGTACCCAAAAGTCTAGCAGTTTAAATTCTTAAATTTTAATGTCAAAACAAAAACAAATGTTTTCTAAACAACAGGCTTATAAACTTATTTGAATATGATGTGTTATTGAATGTAGTTTAAATTCAAAAAGTTCCATTAAAAATGCCGTCCAGTTGGGCATTGTAAAAATGATGTAATTAAATTTCCTGTTAGTTTTATTGTATTTCATATAGGGCTCTCCAGGCTGTTGACAGGCTATCATTGTCCCTATAATTAATGGTAGAGTTATTTCTTTAGCCTTGAATAATTTTTCTAGCTTTTTCAATGTCTTAAGATTGAACACTTTCTCGAGTAACATAAAACTAATACATTACTTGAGTCTATGTAAGCCTGTACCTCTGCACTGGATGCACAGAGACCAACACTATTGTAGGTTGCACTTTTCTGATTGAAGTAGGATGTTCCTGTAGGCATTGTTATGGTGGTCATGCCATCATTCCTCTTGTCTGAAATTGGTATAGAATAGACTTCAGAAAGTTCATAACTATTATGGAGGTCTTTGTTGTTTCTAAGTAGTTAGCACACTGTAGGATTTCATTTATTGGCTATGGTCAATTTGTTGGTTCTTGCAGTTTCTTGATTTTGTTGTATCTCACTGCCTTATATTTGGTATCTTCCTGTACACACTTCTCTTTGTGGTATAGGTAATTCTGTATTATTTCCCGATAACTTTGGATCAATAACCATGTTGAACTGCTGTTTGGGTAATGTACCATAACTCTATGTTTGTCAATGATGTTAGCTGCATGTGTGTGCATGCCCTTTTTATCAATGCTTTAAAATTTTTTATTTAAATTTTACATTCAATAATACAGTACATGTCATTTTCAAATATATTTATAAACCTGAAGATGGTTGTTTAAGACAACTGAAAACATTATTATTTTTTGACATTACAGTTTAAGATTTTAAACTATTAGATTTTTTAAAAATAAACAATTATTTCATTAATCCAAATAGGAATATACCATTGTTTTTGCACATAACTTATAACAGTTTCCACATATTACTGTTTTTTTATGCAAGCATCTTGTCAATATTTCCTAATTTTATCACTTCTTATATCTTTATATTCTTTAATCTTGTACATCAAAAATTGATTTGTGTTTTCTCTAATTTTTGTTGATAATTTCCTTTTTTAAAAAGTAATCTTGTATCACTTGATACCATCTGTCCAATAAGATCTTATGCCTTTTTTTACTATTCTTCTTGTCATCAAATCTATATATATATAATCAAGACGAGTTGATTATAATAATCAGCGCATAGCCCAAACGGTTAGGAGTTGAAAGTTGAAATTTGGTACACAGTTAGGGTACATCACGAGAACACACACTAAGAAGGGATTTTTCGAAATTCCCCCCGGAGGAGAGGGACAGGATTAAGGTTTCAACAATGGAAGTGTTAAGTAACAATGGAAATGTTAAGAGAAAGCAACGTGCAAGACGCAGATGCAGTTTTTTTGTTTTTGTGGGAAATTGAACATATTTTTAGACCCATCTAAAAATTCTCTAATTAGTCCAGAAACAGGAGGACCCAATTCTTGCATTCTGTGAAAACGGGTAAGGTTGACTAGAACGTAATAATTTTAATCGTCACTATCGTTACTTTTGCCCAAGCAATGCCGGGCCTACCTGCTAGTATTATTTTATATTGCTTTTTTTTATCAGCAAGCAAAGTATTGTATCCATTTAATAAGAGCAGTAGGCTTAATTTTTTCTAATTTATATGTATATTTAGTCACACAAGTGTAATTTTTTTCAATCATGTCATTACAGTAAGATAACTTATAATGTATAATATATGATTTGTTGCAGTTTTGAATATGGGCAAAACTTTTGGAAATCTGCATTTTATTCGCGGCATCATCTATTATACCATTTCTCCTTATGAACAGCGAGCATTTGCTGGATTCATAAAAGAAGGACTGCCGAATCTGTTGCGAAGATTTACCAGTCAGATATTTGTCATCGGGCCACGTAAGTATTACAATGAAACATTAGATTATATTTTGACATTTGTCTTTTATAATAAATTAAATTTTAGAAATACAATCAAACTTTGATTAAACATCATTTGCTCCTGTCTCAAATTGGCAGTAAATTGAGCAGTGCTAAACATGAAGTATCTGAATACTTCACACCACAGCAAAAATAAGAATTATATATATAGGAATAAGATCTACAGAAAAATTTGAAAGTTATGATTTGGTGCTAACTATGTCATTTACAATGCAGTTATACATTTAGTACTTCACAGATACTGAAAGGTTGTCTGTCTAATATTTATGGAAAAGATCTTGTTCACAACAATTACAAAACATTTTCAAAGCAGAACACTTTTCTGCCAAGTGCTTTTGTTAAGCCATGAAGATGCAAACTCATTAGACACATCTTACATTATTTAGGTACTATACAGGGTGCATAGTAAAGTCTTTGTGCACCACATAACTGGCAAATGCAGATAGCTTTAGTTGCCAATGCACTGTATAATTATAGTAAAGTGACTATGTACTACAAGAAAAGATTGTTCACAGCACCTCTAGCAGTAAAATTTGGAAGTTAGCCTTCCTGTCTCAAAAACAATGCAAGATTTTGAAAAAAAGACAATTACAAAGTTGTGATTTGGTACAGAAGAAACCCTGCATATACAAATAGTGTAAAATGTGAATTTTCTAGCATTCAATTCTGCCTACGCTATACCACTAATTGCATCAGAAAGCAGAAAATTGTGAGAAATAGGGACAGAATAGGAAATATACATTTTTATCAGGGACAGAGCTGTTTGTTGCTCATTGGGATAATTTGCCATATCTATGTCTAATGCACGTTTTTACTTTCTATATTTTGTGACACAATTAGTGATGTAGACTGATGAGAATAAAATACTAATAAATTAGCATTTCACACTTTTCAAGCTATTAACACTAGGTGTTCTTTCATACTACGAGGGTTATCCCAAAAGTAATGCACAGTTGGCTCTAACTCGAAAAATATTTATTGAAGAAGATACAAGTGATTACAGGCCTTCAAAATAATCCCCTCCCTTATCAATGCACACTTGCGTGGCACGGAAGTGCTTGGATTCCGTTCAGCGTCCCCTTCTTATTGATCATCCAAATCTGTCAGGTCACTTCTCTTCGGAGCTCTTCCATCGTCAGAAAACACACTCCCCCAAAGGGGTTCCTTCAGCTTGGGGAAGAGATCAAAGTCAGGTGGGCTCAGATCAGGGCTATAAGCCTGGTGGCAGAGCTGTTCCCAGCCATATTTACACACTGACGCTTCGATCAGCTCCCAAAAGTAATGCACAGTGCACTTTAGTGGGCATTGTAGGCAACAACAACGCTTGGTAGAGCACACTGTGCATTACTTTTGGGACAACCCTTCCAAATCAGCCATGCTGTATAATTTTGTACAGGAATATCCCAGGTTACAACCATCAACTCATGATAAAACAAATCACAGATATGGCTGTCATTTCTCTCCTTACTATCTGACTTAGCTATTCCCACCAATACAATGCTTTTTCTGTTCTAAGTGTTACCACCTGTCCAGTTTTGTCATGCATCCAGATGTCCGAACAAAGACCAAAAATATCTGGGTTTTAAGATGATACTTTTATGCCAACATGTTTATTGAAAAAGTAATTAAAAGTGTGTTAAAATTAATAATTTCAGCAATTATATATATAATATATTTATGAGCAGGCAATTTGAATATTATTAATAATTACATTATTTTATTATAATAAACATGATAATATAATTTTGATTTTATAATTGTTACAGCATTTGCTCTAGCCTATTTAGTTTACGACTATGGTGAGAAATTGCATGCGCAATCAGCTAGGAAAAATCCAGATGATTACAAAGACGACAAATAAAAATGCTTTGGATTTGGATTGCTTAAACTTAGAGACAGGAAAATGAAAGAGCTGATTTATAGATTGTAAAGTAAAAGTAATCTTCTGTATAGTTCTGGAATTCATAGAAATAAAGTAATTAATTCCTAATTTCTTTACAAAATTGTGTTCAATAGTTATAAAATATAATGGCTCATTTTTATTTTCTTTTTCAACAATATAACTTATTCTTTACATGATTGATTACTCTCATTAAATAGTTTTTTTTAAATTCAAAATGTCATTTTTCTTGCAAAACTTTCTCTTGATTTTCTTCTCTACTTGCACAGATCTTGTACATTTCTTTCTTTCTTTTGTAATTTTAATTATTTTCTTAGAAAAGGAAGAGGAATATGTAAGCAAGTAAAGGAAAGAACTAAGATTTTAACATAAGGAATAGGCAACATTCTAGTAAGTTTGTTAGCATTAATGACTAACATATGTGCTTGAAGACAATAAAATGCCATTCAATGTAATTATTATATTAAATGGACATAAAAATATATATGAAAAACTATAAACTTATACTTTTTAAAACTTTATTATTATGTACAATTGTTGAGCAAGAAGTGAGTTATTATTTATACCTGGATAAATTAGTCATTAATGAAAAAAAGGCGGAATAAATCTAGAATTAGTAAAACAAAATTATTATATTATTTAATATCTTCAGTATGTATTCTGTTATCAATTAATTATTATCGATATAGTGTAAAATAAAATCAAGATGTTTGAAGTTTGGACATTATTTTTAATAGCTAAACTTTAAACAAGCAACTTCTTTTATTTGAAGAAGAATGATAAAGAATATTGATCGATTGTCCAGCCTCACCATCTGTATATGAGTAATTTTTATTAGCACATGATGGTGGATCTCATTGAATAAATGATTAATGCACTACTAATTTAGGCATCAGAGCAATCTTCTTACAGTTAATATTTAATATCTCGATTTAGTATAATATATAACAGTTTGTGGTTAAAATTTTTTATTACTATGACTGACAGGAGCATAACCAGGAGTGCTTATGATTTTCAGCATTCTCTTGATACCATAGCAATCAGTTTTATTACTTTAAAATAAAAATAAATAAAATAATGCATATCTCATGACTTAGGTTAGGTAACTAAAATAATTTGAAAATAATAATTGAGTAACATTCTCTGAAAAACAATGGGACATGTGCCTCGATCTCTCGAATCTGCTTTGCACAGCATCCATATTTTCAAAATCCTGGAAATGCCACCAATCATCAAGAATAATTTTATTACCGAGTAAAGTATGTGCTTAACATAATGATATGTTTAAATTTGTATTCGGTTATGTCAGTTGGCTAGCCGAAGCAATAAAGGTGGTCACTCTGAAGCATCCAGTTTGAGTCTGACTTGGATACTCAGAAATATTCACAGATAATTTAATATTGGATATATTTGACATAATTTTTACCCATTACCCTATTGTGAGCCCACATCACAATATCTGCCTTCATCTTTATTGTGGACAAGCCCACAATAGAGATGAAGGCAGAGTTTTCTTAGTGTTTGGGGACAAAAAGAATTAAAAAGAGAAATTATTCTGCTTAATTAATTTGCAATAATTACCATCAAGAACTGATTAAAATCCACATAAACTTATGCATGCATTATATATATAAATATATTTTATTGTAATATATTTACTTAAAAATTAACATTTTCAGGATTTTAGAATACTGAAAAATAAAGATGAAACATTTCAAATTATCACTGAATATGCAGGTGGGTTATATTGCAGCAGTTTATATTGAGCCATGACGCAAAACAAGCAATATATCTGAAAAAAATGAAGTTTGGTTTAGTCTGTTTGCTTAAATGAGAATATTTAAAGTAGAACTTACATCAATTCCGAGAAATATCAGAGAGAATAGAATGGTAGCAAGAATTGCAGATAGTTTCTGTTTTTAAAAAAGTGCAAATTTTATCATTAAAACATTATTAATTAATTAAGGTTTACATTGAAAAGGACTAACCACTTCCTGTGTTATTCCCATTAATGTTAAGATAATGAGTATTGTCAGACCTCCAATTTCGATTATCATCCAAATAATCCATGGAAACATCAATGAAGAGTTGTCCTTTAAATATAAAAAACAAAACTTTTACAACTGAAACAAATTTTTCTATATTATTAAATATATCTTTTACACAAGGCCATTTCACAAGGACAACAAAATTGAGAATAGGAATGTTAACTATTAATTCCACATTGACAAGATTGATTGAGCCTATTGTTGATGCTGAATCTCATTTCAAGTTTGCTGTCCCCATGTCTATCAACCTTTTGTGTCTCCCCGCTTGTTATCAGATACAGTAATAAATTCATTGTGGCAGAAGTACAACAGGGATTCTACAAACTGCTTGCTGGATGGCCAAGGCAGCAAAGGATCAGCCTGCCACTCTCATGGACCATGATCAAATCTGGTTGAAGAACTCCAGGAATTTTTAACAAACTGTTGGGTCCTATCTCTTGCTACAACCTGGCCACCCACATGTAATAAGTTGGAAGAGTGTCGGCTCTATTGTTTGGGGTCTAATGCAAAATATAAATGAAGACAGACTTGTGCATTAATTAATCAAGTGTGTAGTCCGTGCAAATGTACGGATTACATATCCAAGAAGCCAGTCTGATCGAGAGGCTGAAATCTACTCGCGACTTATTAATTAAATTAAAGCAAGAATTCTAAGCTTAAAATTATAGTAGTAAAGCTGATTTACCTTTCTAACTCCGTGGATAAGTAGAATACTGAATGTGATGAATAATGCGCAATCTACTAATTGAGTTAAAAACACGATTCGTAGAGCTGGTAAAATATTTAAAATAAATACAATAATTTATAACGGTAATTACAATGGTTAAATTTTACTTACAGTATACGAAGTTTTCGTTTCCTTTCAAGTAAATAGAGATGCTTTCCAAATGAACTAACCCAACAATAAGTAATATGGCACCTAATGACCTAGATACCTACAGAAAAGTTCTCATATTGCACCACGTGAATAATTAAGAACATAATTTTTACGCTTACCAAAGTGAAAAATCCACAAGCAATGCTTCCATTCTTAGTATTTTGCAAGCAGCAACTATTCCTATACATCTTCACTCATTCATAGTTCAACTATTTTATAAAACTGCGCTTATTGACGTCCTTCCACCATCTGCTGCTTTGTCATTCGTAATAACTATGGCATGAAACATGATTTACCCAATAATATATGAAATTTTAATTTACACGTGTCTACGCTAAAAGATAATTTTTTTTTAATTTAGCAGAAAGTTGTGTTCGATCCAAAAAGACTCGAACTCAGACCCTTTCTGAGGAAGCGTGACACGCTTTCAAATCGCCACTTTAAGTACCGTTAGTGTTATCAAACGATAATTTCATAAGAGAACTAACGTTTTTTAGATAAAATGCTCTTATTTATCAGTAGAAAGTAGTTATATCAATAATTTTGCACGGGTTCATGTATTATTTATATAAAATGGCGTTTATTTACTAATACAGTATCAGATAAAGAAGACGAGGTTGGCGCTAATTAATGTACAAATGAGTATTTAAAAACTGCCGCTTTTTGCTCTTATTTCATGTGGTAAATATTGAAAAATATTAGAACTGAATTAAACGGCTTTTACGTTACAGACGCGTTAAAATTATATTTTATGGACGAAGTGAAATGCGCCACGCTGCGGTCATTAAAAACTGCAACGTAATCCAGAATATTCTAAAAGTATTTATATTTTCGAAATAATAATAATAACACTTAATCATTAATAATAATAATTTCGAAAGTATTATTTACATTACATAAAAAATTAAAAATATAGCCCAACAAGATGAAAATGTAAAAGTGATAATTAAAAAATAGCCAAAATATGTAAATGACGTCATTTGCATCTATCGTCTGCTTCAGTTGAAGTTTCGTACGGGGATGAAGACGTTTTAAATTAAGGAAATTGCTCGTAAAGTAAATTATTTGAATAATTAATGTTAAATTTAATGCAAATGACTCGTGTACGTTGTTTATCTACGATATTCTTTTCCCCTTTTTCTGCTTACAAACTTTTAGGCCTAAAGGTAAGTTTCGTGTTTCGTTTAAATTCATTTTAAAATTAGTTTGTCTATATTTACATAAAGTTATATAAAAAGAAAGTAAAAATTTAAAAAAAATCTAGCAATGAGTTGTGTAACTTTTCCAGCTGTTAGGAGATTTATTTAAAAAATAACCTCAGTAATAATAATTAAAAAAATAAAATTGCGTGTGGCGCCATCTGCTATGAGATTTTGTTATTAAAAAACTATTATTAACTAATACAAAATGGCAAGACTTAATTTTAAAGGGTACAGATGAGTTTTATTTTTTAAAATGTTAATGTTAATAACGAGTAAAATTTACGTCAGACTGTATTCGAGATATGACACGTGACCACCCTGTATCGCTCCACCCCGACCTTTCGCCACCAAAATTTAATAGCATTAATGCCGCTTATACACGAGCTACCGTGTCAAATTTCGTTTTTTAATCTTTACCCCATCCTGAGATTAAATGAAATAGATGGCAACACACATACACAGGGAATTTTGCCTTTTTTACTTTTTACTTTCCCGACTGTTATATATAATAGAGGGAAAGTATGGCAATCGATCGAAAAGATTTTTACATTTTTTAACCCGGGAGACTTTGAAACGCCGAAATGCAAAACAAAAGAAAAAAATTCAGGGGTTTATCTTGATGTTAGTTTGTGTGTGTTGGTAGCATTATTTTGTTCACCCTGTTTGAAGCTTAATAACTCCCGTGCTTTTTGTCGAAAATTTCTGAAATTTTGCAGGGAGATCGATACTATTAAATTTCGGTGGTTAAAGGTCGGGGGTGGGGAGACAATGGTGCCCTGTGTCTCTCCAGTAGGGTCGGACTTAATGATGTTTTTACTCGTAATTATCATTTACATTTTTTATAAAACTTATCCCTACTCTCAAAATTAAGCTTTTTGCCTTTTTATAATAGTAAAAATATAAAACAGTTTTTAAAAATAAAATATGATAACAGATGACGCTACCAAATGTCGCCCAGGAAAGTTAAGCAACTCGTTGCTGGAATTTTTGATTCAGGCATCTCAAACCTGGAAATTTACAAAAAACAAAAAAAAAAACCTTGAGGGTTAAATTTGATACCATTCCAACACTTTTCCTTTTTACATAACAGCCGAAAAAGTAAAACCGTATATCCAAAACATAGCTAAGGAGGAAGATATGTGAACAGTTAAAATTTACAATACACACAGATTTACACTGTAAATTACACCGATATTTGTTTCTATTTATTGAGGCATCCGTGCCCTTTATTTTGGAATAGTTTTTATCCTAAATGACCATGTGGTCACAAATATCAACAAAGAGAAGAGAAGGATAAGATGACCAAACTTATTAACATGAGAATTTGTACTACCAGATTTGTGTGCATTGCTTTTTTAGTGTTGTGCATCAACTCTGATTTGTTACCAAAAAAGATGGCACGAGCTCCTATACCTCTTTCCACTTTGGTTTAAATCATACCTCCTCGACCGTTAACTACCAAATTTAATAGCATCAATGTCCCATACATTTATTGATACATTAATACGTCTTCAATGCTTCAATGTTACTGAAATGTAAATAACATATCAAACCGATAGTAAATGTCAAAAACCTTTAAATTTGATGAAGTAATTAAATTCTTTACTGACGCAAACATTTCTTAATATATTTATTAAGACATAATACGAGTATATTGTCTTTATTAACATTTTAATAAAAGAAAGTAGTCGTCCCTTTTATGCATCATTGGGTCACACTGAAACGAGGAGGGTGCTGACCTTAGAATGTTCACTATAGGGACATTATAGCTTTTTATACGTTCAGGAAATAATTGTATTGCCTAATAAAAGTGTCGAAATCGTAATTGTTTCCAGTTCCTTTCCTCCTTTCACACACTATTGATTTCAATAGTGTGTGAAAGAATGCAAGAGAAAGGACTTTTGTAATCTTTAATGGATCAATACTATACTTTGCTGAAATGTTATCGGTTTTGTTTATATTTTAAAACGTTTCGAGCCAAAATATTCTTAAAAGATAAAAAAAAATTTATTTATAAAATTCTTTATTCTTTTCACAATAAAAAATAATATAATATAAATAAATATAATAAAAAACAGTTCATGGGATGAGCTTCATTACTTGAGATTTACGAATATAAAGCCTTTGTTGCCTCATGTTTAATGACATTAATATCTCAAAATATTAGGTTCGTTTCCATATTTGTAATAAGGAATTATTGGTTTAACTTCAAAGCTGTTGTAATATGAAAGAACATACACCATTAAGTAAATCTGAAAAAAAACAAATAAATATAGCAAAATAACTAATAAGTGCAAATTATAATTAGTAACATCAAATCAAAACTTTACTCACATCAATGATAAGATATCCTATAACAAATGGAAACACTTCAGACATATACAACTCGCTCTAAGTAAATAAATAAATAATTTTTTAAAGAAAATCTTTTAACAAAATCTGGAAGTTTCCTAAAGATAGAATTAGGGAAAATTACTATGGCATTCTTGAAAAAACTGATGGAGAATGCAAGAATGGCACTCAAGTAGCAAATAAGCTCGAAGAGTATCCAAGTTATCCAGGGAAGTAAATGTACTCTTTTCTCCTAGAATTAAATATATATATATTAATTGTATAACACATCTTAAAAGTTAAATATTTCACTCTAGCTAATCCGGCCTCTCAATATTACGTCATACCCCGTATGATCGCCTATGCGCTTTCAATTCCATGAAAATGTTAGTCGTCACATCCTGTTTTCGTGCATACTCGAAAGTCACGTTATTCATTGCCTTTAGGACTATATATTCGGTAATCTGGCACCCCTCTGTGCAAGAAAGGGCCGGATTAACAAGAGCCTAGTAAAGTACTGTCGTCATTTAAAATGTATTTTACATTAAGACGGCTTTTGTCTCGTAAAAACCTATAATCTATCTCATTTCCTCCCTCAATTTTGGCACGGTTCTGCTATTATATTGAAATAACTTGTGTCACGAACTTACCCTTTTTACACCGAAGATCATAATAAGACTCACGATGATACAAATCAAGCTCGAAACTAGTAGAAAGTAGCAGTAACCTCTTCGAAGAACAGTATCTAAAGAACAAATAATGATTTGATTTAGTTCATTTTGTACGAATTGAATTATTTATTAACAAATCCATGTAAATAAAGCACGTGTGGGATAATAAATAAAAAGATATTCTATTAATTAGCAATGGGACAGACACGATACTCCAATTTTATTGCATTATATGAGTGCAATAGCATAACCAGGAAATGGCCTCTGGTTTAAGCAAGTAAATATATATATAGCCTACAATATCTTCATCCAATGTGCCTAGTAGCTGTATCCACAGTAATACAGGATGAATAAGTTTGCACGTTCTAATTCGGGCCTCTCTAATATATTATAGTTCTAGCTTTGTGTGTGTGTGTGTTCCTTTGCTAACTTAGAAAAGGAAAATAAAAATAATAATCAGTACGTCAAATTAGATTATATTTGATTTCTTGATGAGGTAGGTTATCAACAAACATCAGTAGAGATAGCATTCACAAAACACTAAATAATAATTCCCCCGTTACTCATTGGAATACAAGAATTTATTAAGAATACTTCACTTACTTATTAGACTACATATCAAACCATTTAAAAATAATGTAAAAAAATATTAATTATGTAATATAATAATTACAAGTTAAGAGTATTAAAATTTAATATTCACTATCATACGTAGGCCCATATAGGCCTACATTTTATCATCTAAGAATACAAGATAATTCAAAAAGGACTTTACAACTTTGAAAGCATATAGAATTTTAAATTAATTACGAAAAATATTGCAGAATCGACCGAGGAGTTAATTTATAGCAAAACACGTCAGGTTTGTCTCACGTAGTACCGAATATCGTCACTGTGAGGCGTCTTTTTTTTTAAATGGCTGTTTTTAGTGGTGCTGACCGCGTTCGGGTGTAACCAATGTCCTTTTTTGAATCTCCCCGCAGTATTTACATCTGTTCAATTTGCTCGAGAGAAATGTAGAAAATAATTTCACATAATTCGAAAAATGCAGTATCTTACCATAAAATCCATCATTTCTTTTGCATTCCTCGTCATATAGTCCAGCTTTGTCTTTCCAGGCGATCAAAACAAAGAACAATATACCAAAAATCCTAGTAATCTAATTAATAAAATAAAATATAATAATTATTATATTTTGCTATCAAGGAACGAATTACAACAGTAGAAATTGTACTTACGATAGTAATTACTGCCGAAGTTAAGCATCCCGTTCTGGAACCAATACCGCACTTTCGCGACATTTTTTTGCAGAAGTTTGCGACTTCGATGCAGAATTTTAATTGTGACGAAATCGAATTCTCGAGCTAATTTATAGGAAAATACAGACGGACTTGTGATGTCACTTATCGATAGACATCTTGTAAAACAGTGATAAAATGTTTTCAACGTCGCCCAGTGTGACGTGGCAGATTAAGAACATTTATCTTCTCATCATTTATCAATAATAATTAATTTACGAGAAAATTTAAAGGTTTAATTGTAATCAGGAAAGTGTCTGAATATTTTCTTACTTCGATTCATTTTTTTAAAATTTGAATTAAAATAATTACTTTAAATATTCAAAATGTATCGTCCATTAGATCCTCTAAGAACACGAAATATTCTGCATATTTAATGGAGTTATATGCAATAATTAATACTGATTTTACGATAAATTAAAATAAAGACATGAACAACTCGCAGTTAACTGAGATAATTATAATAAATAATCAGTTATTCGAGATTACAATTAAATCGAAAAGAGATTAGTTATTGCTTACCGAATATCTCGTTTATCAATTCTAAAATAGAATTTCTAGTATATTTTTATCTGTTGTTCGAAGTTTCTCGCAATATATGTCATACTATTTTAAAAATTGAATAAAGTCTCACTATATCTACCTGCTTTATAATGCAGAATACACAAAATCTGGGCTATGAAGCCGACAAATATAATTAGTATTATAAGGTAAAGTTTAATATGTCGCTGTATTATACTGAATTTTATACAGTGCTACATGTGAAAAATTTTTTAAAAATTTAACAGAAATTTTATAAAGATATTTTTGTATTTATTAAATAGCCTAATAATTAAATTGCATACATAAAAATTAAACCACAATTAAAGAGTAGGCCCACATGCTAAAAGCTGAATTCAATATTCACTTCGGTTTAAATATTATTTTATAGAATTTCGTTTCCATTCCAGATTTTTATATATAAGTTTTTTTTGTTATAAAACGTGAACTATTTCATTAGTTTTTAAGTAAATCGATTAAATTTACGCGAAATTCATAGCGGAGATTAGAATTTTCTTCTATTAACGATTCTGTTTAGAGTTAAATGGTACCCTAAACAATGTTCTAATAGTGCTGAGCTTACCATTAAACACTGGTAGTTGGTCGCGGGTTCACTCCTCTCAAACGGATTGCCCACGTGGAGTTTTCCGTGTTTTCTTCACGTGTCTAACACCTAAATAGGGATCAGTTTTCCGGTAAACAGGAAACATCCCTACTTGGCATATATCTCGTGTGTTGCGTATTCCTTCAATCTACCTACCGAATGGTGCCCATTAGAAATTGTTTAGATCAGTCTTCTAGATGCTCTGTTCTAAAAGACCCCTTAAACAGTGTCAATATCATTATCTAACCAATTCTACTTATAGAAATTTTCAAGACACACTATTAATTGAATCAGAATAAATTGCAAATATGAATTAATAATACTATGTATGAATGAAAATTCAAACGGGCCCTAGTAATTTATAGATCCTTCAGGTCCTATTTATAAGAGAACATTGAAAAGACTCTTAATTTAGATTTAAAAAAAACTTGCGTTTCTGAGGTCTTATTAATGAAAACCATTTCATTTATTAATAAACATCAGTTATAACATAATAAATTTTACCGTAATCAATAGATACTTTGTAAAAAATATTATTATTTAAACATATGTAATTAGTCTTTCATTCTTATTCAAAAATCTGTCATTTATTATTTATAGCTAATTTTCTCGAGCTTTATTCTTCATCACAAACTGATCATCTTTGGTCTTCCGTGTGGTGAGATAGTGATAGTGAGAAGCCACTATTAAAATTTCATATACCTGAAAGAGAAAGTGACAAAGGTGAGTTTAAATTAATGATATTGATTTAATTTTATTCAATTTAAACTAACCAAGATAGTCAATAACGGTAACAGCAATCCAAAAGCCACTAACATTCTTGGGACAGTCTGAAAATTTATAGATGTTAATTATATATACAAATTTTTCTGTATTTCAATCAATTTAAATATGAAACGATTTGCATAAATAAGTTTATACGTACTTCTGTAATTCCAGAATTTATAAGCACTGTAAGCAATATAAATTTCATAGCTATGTCTATGATAGTTGCCCATATATGTATGAGTAAGAATAGTGGTTTCTCCTGTTAAAAAATTTTAATTTTTTTTTAATGATAGATTAATAACCGGTTTTATGCTACATTACTTGGGCAAAACATTATATAGATAATTAAAAAATTTTCGGTAAAAGTGATTGCAAGACAACAAGAATATTGTTCATTAATTAAGGTGTCAGTCTACCACTCTGGAGAACTTCACCGCTTAATCATCGTGTAGAAGTTGTAATTAAAGGAAGTTTGAATACTTTTAAAAGTATACAAATGTAAGTAAGCACTGCATACCAATTACCTCTGTTTAACACCTCACTTAAAGGTGTTTAATTGAAGTGATTTGATATTTTTTATATTTAAAAACTTAATACTTCTAAATGCCTCTCGTGTGTCTGCATTAATCCTTTCCTCCACAATATTTGTGTCTTAATTCAACGTTGTTTGTGGGAAGAATTATGCAAACGTAACTGTCCGGTGGAATAATGAGAATAATTGACCAAAGGAGCGTGGAAATTACTTCTTTACAAAAAAAAATGCGAAGAAAAATTAACTAGGAAAGAACAGTACAGATTGATTGTCTGGAGAAGAATTACTGAGAAATAATTGTCAAGGACGAATTGAATAGGGAAGAATTGATAGGGAACCATCGGATCCCCTACAATTCGTCCTTGACAGATCCCCGCTACACTCCATTGACAGATTGCCCATGTGTTGCGTTGTCTTATCTTTCACTCCAATCAAACTCACCACCCAGTCGCCCACTTCGCCCAAGGCGGGCCTGAAAAAAAAGGCCCTCTTACAAGTTAGTGTCCACAGAGCATAAAGAGCCAAAAATGAAAATTAACCGAATTTCTTTAGTTTTGACGATAAACACTTTGCAGCCTGTGAAAATTAGTTTTCCCAGTTAATATATAATTTACAGCTGTAGAAAGTAGGTTAAAATCATTTTTGCATTAAAGTCTGCTAGAACAAATGCTGGAGCAGGAAAAGTTCCAGTTCTTTTCAAACCACCACCAACAATAAGTAAACGCTCTCACTTCGTTAGAAAATGGAGCGAGATAAAGATTTGTATACAATAAATAAATATTAATAAGACCATATACATTTTGCTGTTTGCAATTAAAAAATTTGCAAGTAGAAACAAAAATTATTAATATACACGTATACATTAAATTTATAATAAAAGCACAATTTCTGTAATAACTCAGGATATATTCTTCATAATTGAAGTTTTAGACTATGTACAAAAAATATAAAATTTTTTCATAAAATCATTCATAAAATATAAAATCATTGTGATCTCTCTTTTTACTCGTTTACCTTTGTTTTTTTAAGAAGTTATTCTTCAATAAAAAAGCCATGTTACCTGTTACTTCTGGTGTTGTATATAAAAAAGGATTGAGATAGACTCAAAAATTTTATATTTTTTGTACATAGTCTAAAACTTCAATTATGAAGAATATATCCTGAGTTATTACAGAAATTGTGTTAATATGCAAATAAGTAGGATAACTCGAAATTACCACCAGAGGGCCTGAAGCAGTTAAAGAATGGATAAGGACAGTATGGTGAGAAGAATTCTTCATGTTTTTAATGTAAAGTGTCAGAACCTACAACAGAAGGCTGACACTTGATCGTTTTTAACATTGTGATCTCTCTTTTTACTCGTTTACCTTTGTTTTTTTAAGAAGTTATTCTTCAATAAAAAAGCCATGTTACCTGTTACTTCTGGTGTTGTATATAAAAAAGGATTGAGATAGACTCAAAAATTTTATTTTTTGTACATAGTCTAAAACTTCAATTATAATAAAAAATTATATCCAAATTCTCTAAGTCAAAGAAATGTTTGAATTATTTATGTTTAAAATTTAACCATTAAAGGATATTTACCTTTTTGACGCCAACAAACAAAATGATGCCAGTTAGAAGATAAAATGAGCAATGTATGAAAGAATAATAATAAAACGGTTCTGAAAATTAAATAAATAAAATGATAAATTTGTCGTGGATAATTAAACATATACACACACACATATATATAATTTTATTGATATTCTCACTGTTAATTTTAAGATCGTGCCCATCAAAATTCTTTAGTTTAGTAATTACGTCTTCGGAAGCGCACACCAAGTATAATGCCGTCCCTATGGATACAATTTTTATAAACTAAAAAGGAAAAACAAAAATACTTTATTGTAGTGTCAAATACAGTACGTCTTTCTGCTTAGAAAACGAATCGCAATTCTACCAATAAATTAGCATAAACTGCAGAGCCCTAGTCTACAACTAACAGTTTCTCCTGTTAACTTATGCTTATTGAAGCATGTTCCCTATTTTATCAAATTAATTATAATGATTAAAAAATAATAAATAAAAAGGTAACAGGTTTACTTCCGGTACACCAAACATCGTCCCATCCGTAACCACGCGATGATAATTTGTACAATCTGCTCTACGCTGATTTATAAAAAAAAACGGATCCAGAAGAACCCTAAGGGTGCTAACTCGAAATTTAAAATATTTGAATTAATAACGATCTTTTATTAACACGCGCAAGACGATTGTATTGCGATAGTCCGATAAACCATATTTACCAGCGTAAAGTTGTAAATAAATTTTTTGCTTCAATAGAGGGATTAAGTCCCTTAGCCCCTTGGATTTGCCCTGTAATTTTGTATAGAGAATTTTATTTTCAATGAAATTAAGTATTTCACAGAATAATTAGGCATTTTTTCACTAATCCAAACTTGTTTACGTTATGTTTACTAAAGTCGCTGCATCGATTGAAGATTGTTCGCGAATATTATTATTTTTTTGTTCTTTTAACCATTTTATCTAAAATATTTAGAAGGGCAGAGATTTGTATTGCTCGGTATTAAATTGAACTGCGCAGGAAGATATAATACATTGAAGATTCTTAATCGAACATTAACATCAACTCGTGCACATTTGAACCACAATCGTTAATTTGGTTGGGATTTAGTGCACGCTTTACGTCATTTCTTCAATTTTACAATGCGAAATTCTAAAGAACGGCGTCAAATTCGATGCCATTCTTTAGAATTTACAATGTCATTGCCACAGTGGCGTACCGTAGTGGGGGCGGCAGGGCGGCACTTTTTAGGGGGCGGCAAAATTTCACAATAAATAATAATATCTTGTAAAAATTTGAAACATCCTAATCTATACTTGCATCGCGCCTACGATAGTGCTTTCGTCCGAACAGTCCGGGAATCGGCTCTCCGGGTGAACTAGTAACTTTTTCATCCGAGGAGTTCCTGCGAAACCTGTTAACTTTTTTTTTTGGCTTGTACGATTCATTCGCGTTCATATACACCACTAATATCCAATAGTTCTATTTTAAACAGGTCGCTGCACTACCACCGAATTTTTCATTGTTTGTTCTGTGACAAAACTGAATTTTGGTCTTTTAAATTGAAAAACCTAAATAAGGGGGCCGAAATTTTCCTCCGCCCCGGGCGGCTGACACCCACGGTACGCCACTGCATTGCCATTTATAGTTACAAATTTACTTCGACTACTCACCACTGTATATAACGCGCAGGCATAAGCAGATTTCTTTGTATCGTAGGATGGTATGGTGACGTACATCTTTCCTCCAGCGTTCTCCGTCACTAATATGCAAAAATTGATCACGGGCAAAGAATTTAAAGATGAGCTTGGTGCTACGTAACGCAATCTATCACCGTTAATTAATTATTAAGGAAGTTACTGAGATCTTCCTGGTTGAGCCCTTAATCAATTATTATTATGAGGAAAATTGGCAACTACAATTTCCTAATCCAGTCATAAGATTTTCTTTCTCGTTAGTTTAATATTGTTCGTGTTAATAGTATCTCGGGATTAAACTAGAAATACTGTATTATACACAGATTTTGTATTAGATATCTGAAAGAATTAGAGCTGTACGAGTGAATCGATTAAGAAGTAAAAGATAGGAGGATAAGATAACGACGACATAATAGTAATTAATGTAAATATTCAGGAATAATGAAATTATCTAGGTTCTTGCGAAATATTTGTTTTCTTCCTTACTTGTCAGGACGTCACTTGTAGTAATGACTAAAAAAATAAGTATTAAGCAAGCAGAATGTTTCATATAGAATTTATTAAAAATTTTATATTCGGTAATTTTATTCGTGATTTGCATATTTATTACTAGCAATTTTTAGTGTGCCGCTTTTAGTATTATCTGTCTGTTGGTCGCGGGTTCGCTTCTGACCAACGCGTAGAATTTTCCGGGTTCACGTGTGTAACATCTAAATAGGGGCCAGTATAATGTCACAGATTTTAAGTCGTTATTAGCGAGGTTGATGCCGAAGTTTTAAACGCGAAAACGTGTACGTCGGACGTTCAGCGCCGCTTTCCTGTAAGCCTACAAGTTTGACAACGGTGTTTGGAATGTCGAGCATGATTTCCACTGACTATCCAAACACCATTGTCAAACTTCTAGGCTTACAGGAAAGCGGCGCTGAACGTCCGACGTACACGTTTTCGCGTTTAAAACTTCGGCCTCTTAACCTCGCAATTATCTACCTATCCCTTCTCATCATATTTTGTTACCAACTTTACACTCTCATGCTAATGCATGTTTGATCTCCCACCCCGACATTAAAATGAAGCATTTCTGTAAAATAGATCATTAAGGTACTGGAGCGTTACATATACTCTTTACATATAACAGTATATTAATTTATTCATATTTCGTGCCAAGGCAAGGCTAATTTAAAAAACAGTCACTCCATATACTGGAGTGGAACGTTTCTGCATTATTTAAAACTAAAATAGGTTCGATTTAAATTGTATTCTAAGTGAAATAACACATTTCCGTCAATTATTTTTAGCGCATCATTATGCCTACACCAAAAACTTGTAGTGAACATTGTTTCTTGATCGATTGCATGACACAAGATTCATCTTTCTCTTCCAAAATATGCTTATATAATGAAAAAGTATCTTTGTACTGTACATCTAGTGATATATGAGAGACTACTTTGGTGAGTAGTTTATAGCTGTTTTTGTGGCAACTTCTTCAAGATTGGGATTTTTGCCAGCAGCTCTGCAAATGCTTCAGAGATTGTTCTTAACTTCAAGGACAATGCCTGTATTTTTTTTACATCTTGCTCTTCAAGGTTGGTTAGGTTTTCTTGGTGGAAATCTGTAACTATACTTGAAGAGGAAGGTCTAGAAAAAACTTGTAAGCAGGCAGTTTCTTTAATTTGAAATAGCTTTTGAATCATCACTTACAGCATTCAGAAAGATGAAATTTGATCAGTGTGAAGCTGTAGAAATAAACCATGATCTCTGAAATGTCCTTAATGGTGTTGGAGGCAATGGCAATTTGCATTGCAACCGTATCCGCACAGGACACTTCACTAGCATCTTGACTGTTTCTCTTTCATATTCTGTGAATTGCATAAGCTATACCATTGATTATTTTCAAATTCTGATACAAGTCACATCTTATCATAAGCAACAGTTGGTACAGGCTTACCATAATCATAATGATCTGCATAATTATTGTCAAGTTAGTTTGCTAACTTGACAACAATTATGCAGCTCTTTTGGAGACTTACACTAAAGTAGATTATATAATTTGACTGTCTGATTTGAGCTAATATTTGTTAATATAGTCAGTCCTGTGAATTCTTTAATATATAAAAATTACATTTTACTTCTATAAAATTTCAAATGAAATGCATCAAAAAATTTAATTTTAAATAAACTTTATTCTCTCAAATATTGTGTTACATCATCTAGTTACAATATTTATTTAAGAAACCGCTAACCTTATTAACTATGCAACTTGTGATATTCTTTTAATCATTTAATTTCCAATTCATGGCCACGGAGGCTTTTCACCCGGTGCCAATGGTTTTCCATACAATTTACTCTTTCCTCTAAACTTAGTCATTCTCAGAGTTTCTAAGCGATCCAAATAGGCACCAAAACACATTCCACTCAGAGGAAATACCAAAGGCCAATACTGTCTCACCACAGCTGGTAGCATCGTTATAGAGCTTTCTTCTTTTTGGCTTTGTATCTCTGCGTGCGCTGGTAGTCCGCGTAAATCGACCAGACTGTGACGACTGGAAACAAGATGACGAGCTTGTATCTTCTCAACTGACGAAATCCCTTAGAAATAATACCTCTCGTCTCAACAGAATCGACAGTAACCATCTGAAAATAAAAGTATTTAAAACCATCATTTCATAAACATTTAAACACACAGAATGGTAAAAAGTAATAGAAAAGACAAATCTATTTTGAAAAGTAAGTGCAAAGTGTGGAGATATTTTCTGATTGGATTTGGAACCTCAAAATACCAAAAATGTTTCTTAAGAAAAATGTAATACAAATATCTATAATATAGTGATGGACAGCACACTAATCATTTATTACAAAAAACTTTTACGATATAAGTGTTAAATTAAACACGTATGTCACTAAATTGACAAGCGCTTTCGACGATACACACTTTCGTCTTCTTCAGGTCATTAGAAGATATAAGAACCTTTTTTGAATACAAAATTTTTAAAAAACATTCCAATCTTAACTAACATTTTGGAATACCAGCAACGGTAGAATATAAAAAAGATATTTAAATAAAAAGCACACGCGTTTATACTGCGCATGCGCTAGACGCCTCTATATTGTGGATTTAATTGCGATGTTTTATATAACTGTACAAGCTGATCCACAAAGGGGGCAAATCCAGTATGGGGGTGTTGCAGGGCCTTAATACGTTGGTGATGAGGGCTTCCCAGATGTATACGAGATTTTTGTTGTTGCAGTGTTTTAGTATGGCCACGTCATTCCACAGAGGGGTATGTTTGTGTTGTAGTACCATTCTGGCGAGTTCTGTGTCATTCTTGCCGTCCCTGATGGAATGTTGATGCTCTAAAATACGGTTAGCTAACATTCTGGTTGTTGCACCAATATAATGGGTGCGACTGCCTAAATCATTCTCTAATGGGACTGAATAAACCCCCGATTTTTCAATGGTGGATAAAGGATCCCTGTCGTTGGACAGCAACCTCCTAAGATTCGGCCACAGAGAGATCGGCAGAAACAAATCATGTCGCCTAAAAATACGACAAATACAGAGGGTGACACAGCCAGAAAATGGTATTGCAGGCAGGACTATTGTGGATTCCTTCCGACAGTGTAGTGTGGTGGCGGGAAAGAGTGATGCTTTTACCTTATTTAAGATGTAATTAAATTTGGCTTTGCTGTAACCCGCCTCATTTATCGCTTGGTAGATAATATTAAGCTCGGTGTCAATAGCCGCCTGGTTGGATGATAAGAGGAAGGCCCTTCTTATTAAAGGTGAAATTGCTGCATTGACATAATGTTGCGGTTGATATGCCATAGCCGGGATTAGAGGAGGTACACCACTGAAAAAAGGTTCTTATATCTTCTAATGACCTGAAGAAGACGAAAGTGTGTATCGTCGAAAGCGTTCGTCAATTTAGTGACATACGTGTTTAATTTAACGCTTATATCGTAAAAGTTTTTTGTAATAAAGTTTTTTGTAATGTAATACAAAATTATATTCAATGATAATGTACTGTACAATAAAAAAATTTTTGGTGGTTTTATGTAAAATCCCTCTTACATAAAACCAACATCATCAGACAAATTTGTAATGTATGTTACTTTGGTACCATGTGGTAATTTGTACTATGATATGGTAATAGTGTAATGACTATTATTCTATGAAAAGCTATGCCAGATAAGCTTATCTGATCTTAATATATTCAGAAATTTGTGTGTACACACTCCATACTGAGTAAACAAAGTAATGTTGTTTACAGTCAACTTCTAGTAAGTCCAACTTTAACATGTACTGTCTAAAAATGCTTCATCTATGACAATTTCTTTCAACATAGAATATGCAGACATGATTTTGACGATGCTAATGAAATTATCAGCATCTAGATTAGGGGTCCCCAAACTTTTTATCCAGTCGACCCCTTTATAGAATATTTGCCTTCTTATCGACCCCCAGATTAAATATTTAACAAAAACATTAAATCATTTTTGAATTTCTGTTGTTAAGCGATAAGGAGACCTGCATAACAACCCAACAAAAGAATTTATAGTTCTCATATCTTATAAAATCCACCCAATAACATTAACAGAAAAAAGTGATATTTTCCACTGATTTATAATCTTAAAAAATAATAGCAAAATTATGGATAGATAGAAATTTGCTTATAGTTCTTAAACCGTACGTATCATAATACGTAAAATGCACGATAATTTTGAAAACATAACATAAGTTATATTAGATGAAAAAAACCTCTTACTGTCATTTTGCGACTATTACTGAATACCTTAAAAATATGTTAACATATGTTTTTATTAAAATAGTTGATATTAGTGGGATGGATGTGTCTGAAGACAAGCAGCAAGATATTGATATTCGGTTAAAAATTGGTAAGTTTTAGTCGTAAATCCCCACGGTTTCCCAAGTTCAATCTGTTCCTCTGTTTTGTCAAAATTGCATTTGCGTGGCTAAAACCAGCTTCAACCATGTATGAAGTTGGGAATGCGAATAAGAAAGGTTCGGCTTCTGCTCTGATCTTTGGATATTTAGTGGGAATATTGCCATTGCTCCAAAATTCACTGAGGTTTTTATTTTTAAACAACGCTTTAGCTTCGAGATCTACACATATTTCAATCAGTTCATCTTCTAAGCCAGGTTCATTACCTTCATTATCTATTTTTACATCAAATGGATTAGCAAACCATTCAGGAACATGCATATTCTCCGAGTCTTCGAAACGTGCTTTAAAGTCTTCTCTTAATTTATCAAGATGTTTACTATATATCTCCAAATCATGGTTGGAAATCTTTTCATTTTCTTTTAGTACTCGCAAGTTTGAAAAATATTTAAAATCGGATAGTGCCAGTGAAGATTTACATAGTTTCATTTTTACTTGAGAGGCCATTATGATTGTTCGAGCTTGAACAATTGTAACGCTTTTTCCTTGCAAATGCTTCTGTACTATATTAATGATTTTCGATATATTACGATATTTTATCTGTAAAAGACAAAATATCTACATTTAGATATAAAATACTTAAAGTGACAACTCTACTAGAGTGTAACAGTGCAACGTATGTCTGTGTATAATGAACTACCAGCGTTTATACATGTTTGCAACACTAGTACAGTTGCCAGATGCGTGAAAACAGAGTAACACATGCTTAAAGCAGCGTAAGCTAAGGCAAAACTCAAGTTATAACTAGGGTAGTCAGTAATGTTGATCATATCTGCATTTCAAATTTTTATTGGAATATTCTATTTTTTCCTAGACAGTTTAATTGATCCTCTTTGGTATTAATCGACCCCCTTTCGACCCTCGTGTATTAATCGACCCCTGGAAAACTCTTATCGACCCCAAGGGGTCAATATCGACCACTTTGGGGACCCCTAATCTAGATTAACATACGAGTCAATTTATGTCTACTTTGTGAGATGATGCTTTTATTTCAGAAGCAATTTCTGTAAATAATGTCAATCAGTAGCTACAAATAAATTATTACAAATATCTTAAAGGATAATTTGTTTAATAATTTTTTAAGTAACATCTGTCAAAATAGTCATTCTAGAAGCAGAAAATGAATATAATGTGACTGCTTTTGATAGATTTGTCTTAAAATGTATTAATCTTCATTAAGAAAAAGGCCAAATGGAAGAACTTCCATGCAATACACTATACTGTATATATTTAATGATTCTAATAAAACAAACCACTGCAGAAATTACAATTGCCAGGTTATAAGATTATACAATGCTCCCATTGTCATATGTAACAATTTTTATAAATACTTTTTGGTCGGTTACATTTGTTCCAAAACATATTATTTTGTAATCATACAATACCCAGTGACACATTACATAGTATACAACTCCATATAAAACCAGGCCCATTTTTCAATCAAGTAAATTAATGTAATATTTCTCATTGGAAAAAAATAAAATTTTCAAAGAATTTTTCACAATTCACAAGAAAACTGCATAACTAATGCTTCAGAGGTTTAATTAAGGTGGTCTAATTTTATGCAAGACACCTACAGCTATTCAGAGGATGAGATAAAGATTTCTTCATTCCTATATATTTAGAATATTCTAATTTCATGCTTATTTCAAGATAAAATAGTATTTGGCCAAAATGAGACAAAATTTAGATGATGAAATTACTTCTGGATAATTATACTCTATAATCTAAATAACAAATTGTCCAAATTAAAATGATGATGAATTGATAAATGTTCTAATATAATCATCAACCATTGTCAATCCACTGCTGGTTGAAGATCTCCTCTTAATCTTTTTCATTTTTCCCCAGCCAGTGATTTGGTTTTCCAATTTACATCAACAACTTTCCTTATTTTGGGCATTTGATCCCTCATGAGTACCAGCGTACAATGTGTCTGGATCATTGTCATTTTGAACATATCCCTTTGATCCCTTTAATTATCATTAAAGGGATCAAATCTTTCTCTGATTTCTTATCCAGGTGATTTGCTTTCTGTCTCTTCTCATAATGCACAGCATACATCTTCCCACACTTCTTTGCATTGTCTATATCCTCTGTATTGTTTTGCTTGTTAGTGTCCACATTTCTGCTCCATAAGTGAGCACTAGTAGACCACATTGGTTGAATACTTTTCTTTTCAGGCACAGTGACAGGTTGTTTTTTAGAATTTTGCTATTTTTGCGGAATGTACTCCATCCGATCTTAATTCTTCTGTATATTTCATTCACATTTATCAAGTACAAGCAATTTTATTAGGATATGTAAATAAAACATTTGTCCACTCTTTTCCTATAGGCTACAGATTTGAATATCTAAAATAACAATAATAATATTATTGAGTTTAGTGATTTTTGTTTATAAAATGAAAACTCAATATTAAAGTTAAAACACATGAGTTGCAAGAATCATACAGACAATTAGTAGATATTAAATTTTACATCTTATACAATCTTGAAAAATTAAGAATAAATTAAATCAATATCACAATTCTGATTATAGCATTAAAAATACTGACCAATTCATTAGCAACCTCCAAAAACTTGATATTAATACTAACAGCAGAATATTAAGCTGACATTAAAAATATAAATGCTTTATAAAAGCTTTATAATTGATACATTAACTAATTTAAATTGTGAACCAGTTCAATTACCCAATTATCAATTTGTTTTAAATAATAATTATTTTATTTGTAATCAATTTTTTAGACAATATGATGGTATTTTTATGGGTTTATGTATAGGCCATAAACTAGCTGAATTATGTTTGATAAAAATAGATCATAGTATTAAAACCTCAGAGGCATAATAGAATACAACAGATATGTAGATAACTGCTTCATAATTTATGACATTACTTTAACCAACCTTCAAACCATCCTTAACATTGCCAATAATATAGTAACCAACATAACTTTTGATATAGAACTTGAATATAATAACAATTTACCATTTTTAGACATCATTGTCCAAAGATCTCATAACAGCTTAAGTTTTAAAAAGTATATTAAACCATGTAATGTAAGGAAAGTCGTTAACTATCATTCCAGTACACCTATGTATATCAAGAAAAATATTTTTAACATGTATATCACCAAAATTAAAACACGTACAAACAATTAACTTGAACAAACTAAAGAAATAGTCCACATTTATAAAATCTTTCAACTAAACGACTAACCAAATAAGATACTTGAAAACTGGCTTACCAACGCCAACCCTACCACAACAGAAAAAAATATAATACCAACTCAAATGGCTTATAAAAAACTAACATCCCCACAATCTTTGAAAAAAATTAAAAAAACTATTAAAACCACATAACATAACAACTCTAGCCCCTGTATTTACTAATATCAAAAAATTACTAATAACTAAAGAAAATATTATTCATTATATTGACATAATGCAACAAAATAACGTCATATATAGAATATCCTGCAGCTGCCAACCAGATTACCAATACATAGGTGAAACTGGAAGAACCCTAAAAATCAGACTAAAAGAACATTCATGCGCTATTAAATTTAATTGCACTAATTCTGCTGTAGCCATACATTGCAATAGTGAAGGTTGCGAGATCTCGCTTAATAATCTAAAAATACTCAGAATAGAAAAAAATAGTATAAAAAGAAAATTTTATATATAAATAGAAGTAGACTTTTAAGGCAACATGCCAATTATTGTTAAAATCACAAAATAAAAACTTAGACTGTCATTTAAGTACATTTTATAACCATTAGTGACATCTTGAACTCCCTCCTCCACAGGTAGTATCCATATGTGATCCCATCCCACCCTCCCATATAGATACAACTTCATTCTATGAATGCAACTGCATACTCAAAGATGATCCAAACTCTGCAACAACCCTAGTACTGTAAACTGATTACCAAGTGATTACTCAACATACTCTCTAATGTCAATTGTAACTAACAATCAACCATGTAAGTTATTTTTTTAAAAAAATTTGTTTAAAATATTATACATATTATTCTGTAAAATGTAACCCATATCCATCTCTTTTTCTGTAAAGTCTAAGGACTGAAAAGGGGCACCTGAAATGCATTTCGTTAACACCTGAAATGCATTTCGTTTAATAAAAAATACATAAATCAACTGTTCCTTGTGTGATGTATTGCTGAAGAAAGAAAGCCACTAACTTTTAATTCTTTAAAGTCTACAAAAATCCCATAACAGAAACCTAATTAAAAAGCAATCAGTTTAAAAAGTTGTAATTATACATATAGTGTTATTTCTAGAATTTTATCGAATTCAAACAAAGAACAAGTTCCATTTACATCCGTTAGCTTAAGTGGAAAAGTTGAATCATTTTCAACATTTAGATCAGTAAAAAAATAAAAATAAAGAGAGCATTTTTAATCAATTCTTCACATACACTTCCAAAATATTGACACACTAAAAGACAATACAAAAAAATTTTCTGCAAACTCATACTTCCCATTAGACAACATTCTACAAATCTATTTTAAAGTATGAGAATACCATTAATTTGACTAAGATTCAAAATTTAAGATAATATTTTACTAAAATACCAGTCTGTCATTCATTGAGTACATAAAATTATTTATATCATATTAAAATTGTATTATCCAATGAAACAGAAAACTATTGTAAATTTCAAATCACTTGTCCTTAAAACACAAAACTCTAATTACTAATAAAAATCATAAACCATCACTATTATCTCTTAATGTACGATACTCCTGCCATATCCACTATGGCCGAATCCTATCAAATCTCAAGATTTTGGCAATTTTGCATTGTTTGAAATAAATTGAACTTAAAAAAACTCTACCATGTTGTATGAATCAAAATTTATAACAAAAAAGTTTTCCTTTTACAGTAATCTATTGCTCTATCTATCATAATAAAGTGGCAGCCAACAATTATAACTTTTCAAGGTCACAAATAGCAAAAAAAACCAGTATCTGCTCGTCGAAAGTATTTGGAAATAATTTCAAAAGAAAACCTCAAAACCTAATTCATAACAACAACTTAATTTTAAAACATTTGCTATTGAGACAAACTAAATGACTTCACAATGCAGAATACTACATAATTCTATGTCACACTATAAAGACAAATCAGTGGTTTTATTATTTTAAGAAAAATTAAGTAAACATCAAAATTTATCATCAAATTCCACTTAATAAAATAATACTCTCTATATTAAACGTCATTAAACAAGAAACTACAGTATTAAATTTTATAAATAAATATATATTTATTTATAAAATTTAATACTCTCTTGCTTAATGACATTTAATACAGGAAGAAATATTTTAATTTATTACGTAATTTTTATTACAAAAAAATTATTTATCTATTATATAGAAACCACTGCAGATTTTAACCAAGCATTCATTACTGCAAAAAGAAGATACAATGTTAGATGCTAATCTAATTATGATCTTTCTATCCTTATGAGAAACCGGCTCATTACAGTGATTTTATCAGTCACACGCAACATACTCTAACCCCGGTGTATATTCAACAAGTGTGACTGAAGAATAGAGGGGGGTTTTTTCAATTAGATAAATATCAGCATTTTACTAGGCAAACTTGCCTATATCTGGTGCTGTCATACAACTATATAATTGGATTTTTTCTCCCTTCATACAATTGAAAAATTTGTTTTTATTGGTTCTCAGGATGCCAAGATTTCTTGGTTTTTCCAATCTAAGAATGCAATATCTTCATCATTCAATGGCTATTTCAGTCTCTTGGATCCTTAATCGCTGTGACAATCTCCTTCCATTTTTCCCCATCTTGTGTCTCTTGCATCCACCCAGGCATTACAGTCCATCTTTCCGAAGCACTAGAGGGCATCCAACAGATCATTTACAAAGGCATTTTCCCCGATCGACACTTTGTGTACGTGTCGATTCACGTCAGTGAGGTGCTTGTCCTAGGATTTTAAGAAAAAAGTGATGTTTCTCAGGATATAATTAATTATTTTTAAGATACAAAGATGACAATATAATAAGTCCCGTTAGTAAAATAAATCTGAGTAGACTTTTAAATACAAAAACTATAAGACAAGGACACAAAGGCATATGATTTAATAGATATAAAATAAATCTTAAAAAAATGAATGATATAATTATTTTTCAATTTCAAGTAATTTAATACATCCTACAACCTCCAAAATAATAATAATAATAATGATGATGCTGTATAAAATCTGTATTAAAAACTACCTTTGAATCATGTAGAAATTTTCACAAATAGAAAAAATTAAAAATTTGTTGGAAACTGCAACAAAAAAGAAAAAAAAAAAAGGGCCTTTGAATTGAGTTGAAAATTTAAAGAAAAAAAATGCCGCTATCAAGAATGCCCTTTCCAATTCAATTGATGTGGATGGAATCATGTTTAATGCATTTAAGAGAAGACGGATGTTATGCATTTTTCAACTGTATCTTTGCCCAATTTGCACCACCTGACATAATGCAGTTGTTGAGGCTGCTGGGCATGATTAAAAATTAAGACAGCATCAGTGCAACTATTCGAGATATTACAGGTTCTGACAAGTACAGAATTTTCAGTCCTGCCACAAATAGGCTACATATTGATTATTGACAATCTGTGACATGCCATATTAAGCAAAAATTTAAAAAAATAATAAGCAGGCTTAAAATTAATAAATACAAATGTATTCTGACAGTTTGAGTTAATTATACTTAATATTTGCAAAATTTCCTCAACCTTAAGACAAAATTTAAAAAAAGTGACCTTGTACCAGTTCTACTATCCTGTATGGGTCCAAAGATCTTCTCAAGGACTTTGTTTTCAAACACTCCCAATTTGTGTTCAGTGATGCTATGTATGGCCATGTTTCACAGCCCTAGAGTAGAACAGTTTTATACAATCTTAACTTTACCTTTCTGGAAACTCGTTTAAATTGTAGTATTTTTTGCAAGCTACGGTTTGATGCATTAATCTTATGATCCTTGAGTAAATTTCTGTTTATGGACCCGAGGTAGGCGAAGTCACTGACCTTCTCGAATGTGGACTTCTCCACCAGAAGGTCCTCTTCGCAGTAGCAGATACTTTGTTTTTGATTCATTAACTTTCAGGCCCACCCTCTCTGCTTCCTAGTGTAATAGCAATGCATTTTTGATTAGGCCTCTGTGAGTCCAACTTATTAGGCATCTGCACGTGCCAATGCTTGACAGAGGCCTTTCAGTTCTATTCCTCTGTCACTTTGTTGCAATTTGAGAATAACCCTTTCAAGTGTTATATTAAACAACATAGGCAAGAATACACTGTCTCGCTAAGTACCATAATTATCTTGAACAGTTCCGTCAGTTTGTTTTCAATCCCAACTCCAACGAACAATTTTTCTACACACGCTCGTTATTTTTATTAATTTCTCGGGTATTTCAAATTCAAACATTATTTGCCAAAGTTATTCGCAATCGGCACCGCTGTATGTTTTAGTGAAGTCTATGTAAAGTTTGTATACAGTACATTCCACTCGTACTTCTTTTCCAGCAACTTTCTTAGGGTAAATATTCGGTCAACGGTGACCGATTCTGTCTAAAAATGCAATATCTTGTCTTAAGATATTCCATAATCATTTTCTTAATTGCAATCTCATTATATTTAAGATTAATATGCAAAGAGTTTCATCCGGGAGTGTAGTCCAAAAGATTCGTCCAAATTAAAAACAACTATTTCCTCAAGGTATTGTAATTTGGTGGAACGTGCTCCCAAAATTCCGCTCGTTTAAATTACATAACAAATATTAAACATATCATAAATATATTAATGTGTAAATTGTAAAGTTTAGATCTAACAATGCATTTCCTACAGATATTAGAATCAGACGAGCTTCTCCATTTCTTCAAGAGCAAGAAAATAATTTACATTCAAAATATCACTTAGAATCAAGTAGCAACAATCAAAATTTATAGTAAATTAAATTTTGTAAACGACCATAAAATTCGGCATTATCGAAAGTCATTAATTACGTAATTATTTGTAAAAAAAACTTTGAGATGTAACCTAATGCAAAACAGCGTTCGTACCTAAGAGTGCAAGTCTTCGAAAACGTTTTAATATCGACACAAGTAACCGACTTGCACAAGGCAAGAAAGTAACTCGGAGAATCGATAAATATCCGGTAGAGAATATTTTAAACGACAGTTACACCGCAGAATAGCCACTTTAATGCAACTGGACAAGCAAACTGACCAAACACCCACGCAATTAAAGTCTGTACCTGGGAATGTGACATTCTACGGTTCCAAAGTCATTTCATATTCAAACTTTTGACAGTTTTGACTATTAACATGTTTTTCATACTTAGCTGCATCTGAGACATTCAGGCAAACCTATTTTTGACTCCCAGTTAATCTCTATGCAAGCCACGTAAACTGTCTTACACACACAAATTTACATATTCTGGAAGATGATAATGGTTCTGGGGCGCTGTGTCACCCAATATCTTAAATTTTGAGGATTTTTCCCTTTCTCAAGGACTAATACTTCTTATCACACTTGCATTTATGAACAACTATTAAATGACATGCACCTGTAGAAGTTCACAAGATAAACGTAATTAATTTTCAAATATAGTTATGACTATTCATTAAATTGCTTAAATTAAATAAAATAAACATACTATGGATGCAATAGTTAAACTTTGACTACTTTCAATGCAGATTTTATAGATTCGAATTCACCGTAAAGCTCAATCTTTGTAAAATGTCCGAAAACCTCTCCGATAACGAATTAATAAAGCAAAAATTGCATTCGTAACAAGTTCTTACCGATTTAAACCGAATATTTCACACGTTGACCTCCACACGCCATTAACTTCTAATTACGAAGCTCGACACTAGAGGCGCTTCGCCGTTACTTTTCATAAATAAAATCATTAAACGAAATATTGTTCGCTTTTTATCGCTTACGTTAATTTATTCATTATAAACCATTTAAAATGGATAATTTAAATGTTAGTATTCGCTTTCGTCTACGACCACAAAGCATAAAATCCGTTGGAAAACATTTAAAATCCCATTCCGGAAGATGGCGCCACAAACGTTTCACGGAAACTTTCCTCTAAACTTTCGAAACTCGACGAAGTAAATTAACGACGAAAGCTGGGAATTCTATTGTATTAATGCCTTTTACGTGGTAGCGATTATTAATCGATTATAAGAAACGTTAAATGGGCAAGGTAAGTTTAAGCCAAAGCCACCCTCCGATTGGAGGCCGCCGACGATGTTTACATTTACGTCATTGGATATCCGTTCCGCTTACCTGTCGAGTGGTTTACAGGTGCGGTCGGGGTGTTTACCTTCTCGATGGATGGCGTAGAGCGTTAACTCGTCGTTCTGGATAGTTACACTCCGAAGATCCGATCCGACGACAAGATATAAAGAGTCCACTATGGGTGAGTTCGAGTTTCGCTTCCAAAAATCCCCCTTTGTTCGATTACATTGCCACTTTGTTTAGTGTTTCTGTTACTTTTTCGCTCCCCCTTCGCCACTCCGATTACTTTCTTCCTTTGCCATTCGGCAATAATCGTCACAATATATTTAAATTAAATGTTTTTGCCGGGCAGTTGTGGAAAAAAAACGCGGCGAAGAATGGCCATCGGGCAGAAATTAAAGCACATTCATCTCGCCACGCAGCTATTTGTTAGTTAAAAAAATCAAAAGTTAAATATGTCTTTCTAAAAACACTGCAAATCAAATACCAATCTAAAAACACCGGTTTGTCTATCCGAAAGAACACCACTACACGTCAAACTAATTATAATAATTAAAATTTCAAATTAGTCTACGGATAACAGGAGAGTTTTTTGGGTTTTTGGTGTATTTCTGAGTGTTTTAATTAACGAAGTTAATACACTAAGTGCTCCTGTTAATTTCGAATAAGAACATGAGGTGCTCCTATTAAGAACAGCGCCGATTTCCGGTAACTTAAAGGTTAATCGCACGTTTTCTTTTTTTTTTTTTTTTTTTTACAAGTGTCGTGACAGAACACCTTTGTTTAACTCTTAAGCAAATTTAATTAAGTTGAGTGCCCTTTTTTACAATTTCAAACGTAACTTAAATTCTAAAAAGAAGCACTAAACTTAATTATGTTTGAAATTCCATACGTCGGCTTGGATTTCTGTTACACAAAGAACGGGGACGTTAGAAAATTGATTTTGCCTTGGTAACTTCGTTTTTCTGGAAAAACGAACGTTAAAAAAACCGGTTAACTCATCTAACAATGCGTAAATAATAATAAATAATAATAATAATAATGTATTGTTATCGCATTATACATTTCCTCACGGTCGTGCCTCGTCGTTACAGTTGCGATGCCACATCCCATCGCAGCTGTTACACTTTAAGGACCGGCGCAAACCGCCCGGTTCCTGGATCCTTATTGTGAGCTTCCCCCTGCCGGAACCCTAAAAATGGGGTAGAGAACGAGCTTTTTTGAATCCGCTTTCTTACAATGGGAACGGGTCTCTGTTTAAAGCGATACTGTACCTGCTGCACGCGCGGTCGAGGAACTTCGATTCCGTAGTGTGTTTTTTGAACCAGTAAAAGACGGGAATAGATCCTGTACGTTGCCACCTTTATCTTCATCTAATCTTAATTAATTAAACGTCCTTATCGTCGCCCAGTCCATAAGTGAAACCAACTGCCATGTTTTTTTATAGGTTACTTTTCACCTTTAGACCCACCACCTATTTTTAGACTGGTAAATAATTTTCTAAGTGTAATTAATATCTTCGTAACGGCGTAACTTAAAGCGTAATAAATGCTAAAATACAGGAGAATGGTTACTTCTAAAACACGTGTCGAAGGAAATGCCTTTACACTTGGCAGGACTTAAATCCGCACGCGATATGTTACGTATACGTGCACGCGCGCGTAACGTCCAAAGAAAGAAATTTCGTTAAGTAATCCGGCGATTGAGCTTTTGTCCTCTTATAATGGATTACTTGCGTAAAAAACGAGGTTCAAATATTGTCAGACGCCGGTGTTCGTTCGAGCGTAACACCGGAGAAAATGACTTTTCGGTGTTTTTTGGATACGAGCCAATAATGCGCGATTGTTACGTTATCGAAAAATATGTCACTTGGCTATTAACCTTTCCCCCGTGCAATATTTACACACCTAGACGGAGAGGAAATCTAAAAAATGGGGGTATTATTTCAAAAAATCGACGGATTTTTATTGAATTTCGAAGCGTAACAGCCGTTCTTTCTCCGATCCGTAACTCGAGTACCAATCTCGATCACTTAAAGTAATTGTTCCGCAACGGTAGACTTAAGCGTGAAGTTTTCGTGCGTCGGTCAGTATGTCTGTACCACTCCTTTTAATTCGAAAATATGTCACGTCGAAAGCGGCATTAAAAATAACGCGGGTAAAAAAAGGGGAAGCGATTCGTTTCTGTTTCTTCTCGTTTAAGCGTCACGGAAGAACTGACGGGTCGGTGCTTCGTGACGGTCATCTAAACTGGAAGAAAAAAAAGGTCATTTCCCAAACAACCATCCATAACAGGACCCCCCTTTTAAAGAACAGGATCCTGTAGCCAGTCGGGTAGGTGGAGAATGACGTCACGATCGAGTTACGCGGCCGTCGGACCCGCAACCTTACGTAATTTGTCACGTCGACGGGTCGCAAATTAGGGGCCTCGTGGAAGAAACTGCAATTCCCAACGTCCAGAAAGGGGGTCGGAAGTTCGAGGTCGTCGTCACGTCCGAGCGGAAAAATGGCGTCGAGCCAAATTACCCGTTTGCAACCTTTGATCGAGTCGTGCATCTACTCTCCGATTACTTCGTGATAAGAGAGGGGACTCTGCAAATTCCTGAATTCTTTTCCGCCCCCACCCCCCGACAATCGTGCAGTCGTGTTATCGTCTCCCTTTGTCGTTAAGGGAAATCGAAATTTCAAAAAACACACGAAATTAATGGACCGACTTCTAAAAACACTATAATACAGAAGGTTAACACACAAGTGAGACTATTTTGCCGTGTTTTTCTACACTTGGGCTGGTGTTCTGTTTTTTTATTTAGAGGCTACCGATCCGTGAATGAAAGGAGGGTGGAGCAGTGCAGAAACCAGTTCGCTCCAATTGGTGGGTGTAGCGAAAAAGAAAGGTCGTTCTCGCTGGCCAAACACACACAACACACAAAAAAGCCTCTTTACCCCACTCCTTTCTTCGCTTATCAAAAAAAGACAAATGGTCTTCTCTGATCACGTGTCCTTAAAGTGTGGGGAAGGAACCTATTACCGAAGAAATATGTCACTTTTTGTGTGTATTAACGATGGCGGATGGAGTATAGACGGATTAGAAGTCGTAGATGGGATTAACAGAACAACGCGAGGGAATACTCTAAATCTACGTAATGTAACAATTAAACCACACACGTGCCCTATTTAAAGCGTGTAATTTCTAAAATTAGCAATTTTAAAAAACCTCTCCCTCTCGAAACAATTGTTCTACAACACTCGAACCGGTGTTGTTTTTAAAAATAATTTGCTAAACTTTCGCGTGATTTATTCTTCCCGACGTGCATTTTTAGAAAAATGTATTCCCGTGTTAAGTCGTAGATAACCCTTATTTACAATCAATGGCGTACGGATAAGATTAGGGAATGACCTCCGTATTGTTGACGATTGTTTCGAATTTTCAAATTCAAACGCCCGGTGTCTCTGTCGTCGTGTCGTTTGTAGTGTACGCGCGACCGCGAAATTGCGTAATGGTGTTAGTTTTGCAGAATTTATTTTCGCAAAAAGTGGAGTCGGCGTGTGGCCCCGTTATCGTCGATACGGTCGCGAATTTTGCTAACCTTTAACCTTCCCGTCTACCGTTTCGGGTCAAGGAGGAAGGAACGTCCTAAATATATATCATATTAAAGCGCGTCGGGTCAAAACCGGAGCCCGTTTACCCCTCGACTTGTAAAAGTGTACAATAAATTAATTTAAAGATGGAAGACACCATCGGCAAACTAGTACGACTTTACACTCGGGTTTTTGCTTTATTAATGCAAACGTCGATTCTACCTTACGAAACCAGAAATGTTTTATTAATTATCTTACTACGCTATTTATTAATGCTAACAGAGATTCGGGAGTGTGCCTTTATCGCGTGTCACTCCGGCCAAACGGAGGTGGGTGTTTGTTGTTTTAAAAATTTAAATGCCAAATTTAAATTGGTGCAGCATACGAATTGTAACGTACCGATACCCTACCGCCAGGAAATTTCGGTGTGGCATCGGTTATGTGGAACGATCTTAAGTCTAAGCATACTTTAATGGCACGTAAACGAGATGATGACACTTGCTTTTGGCACGGTGTGGTGCGCGCCACCAAAAGCACTTTTTACGCTTTCTCTCCAGTTTCCCGACTCGAAACGGATGCAGTTGTGTTTCTGCCGTGGCAAGCTTTAATTTGAAATAATTTGGACATTGGGATAACTGGCGTGGCCCTGAACTTGATGTTACTCCATTTCTACCACCAATATTTTCAAAAAGAACAGTCTTTCTGTATAAAAAAACTAAATTAAGAACACTGTTTTTAAGTCAGAGGTGTCAAAGTGTATAAAATATTTATGGACGTTGGAATCTCCTAAATTAGGCATGTAGCAATTTCTAATTATTTGAGTTTGTGGTGGTATGCGTAACAAAACTAGACTAAACAAATGTGAAAAGCTTTATGCAACATAAAATTGCAAATTAATCAATTGTATTGAAAATTCCACAGGTAAATGTATGAAATGTCTACTGAGGGTGCCGTACGCTACTCTGATAGCCACCATCCTGTGCTGCGCCAGTGCCGGCGTCTTTATGGGAGCCCTTTACAAGATCATGTCTCTCTCGCTGCGGATGTTAGAGAACCACTTCGCCTTTCACTTCAATTGGTAAGAATCTTTTGCCGTTCTCTCGAGTCCACAAAATGTGCTAACCGTACGAAATGTCAGGTTGAAGGACCTGCACATTGTCTTCATCGCCGCCGGTGCCGTGATGGGACTGATAAGTCTGGTGATGCTGATCGTTGGGATACTGGCTACGGGCTCCACCCGATCCAAAGTGTACAGAGGATGGAGGGCGAGGCTGGGAGGAAGAATTTCCTGTGCCGTGGTAAGTATACTTCTACCCCTTAGAGCGAAGCGGCGTTTGGTTCTCATTCGGTCCGTCCCGATTCAGTTCATGGCCATCACTTATGTTCTGGAACTGGCGTGGATCCTCATTGTGGTCTGCATGGCAGTCGTGTCGTTCGTGTTCTACATACTGGCCCACCTGTGCAATAATTCGAAACCGGGCGAAGGCAACGACGGTGTCATAGATCTTTCCCAATTTAGTAAGTGTGCCGACTCGAAAAGTGAAAGATTCCCTAAATTACAGAAATGATTATCTAATAATTTACAATTTTTCAGATTTTCTTTTTCCGAAAGATACGAACGTTGACAAACTAAAATTCACCGAAGAAAACGGAGATCGGACCAAGCTCTGCATACAGATGGTGAGTTTACCACAAAACGAGTAGAATCGTTATCGTCCTTATTGAAAATGTCACTTATTTTCAGGTGGAACCATCATTGAAACTCGTCATTCTGTCTTTAATAGCTTCCATTTTAGTCGTTTTAAGTTTGGTAAGGATTTGAGTATTTTTTTAGATTTTTGCTTTGTAAATTATAATCTCGCCTCGATTGCCATCTTACAGGTCCATTACTTAATGTGTCTGTCGGCCAACTATGCTCGCATCAAGGACCACGAGAAGCTGAGAGACCTGCAAGAATTACAATATCTTCAAGACACAGATCCTGGAACCATGCCTCGTGACAGGTTTTAGGACATAAGCCAAGAAATTTTTAAGAAGGGAAGGAGAGAACAGATACCTGCCAAATTGTAAATTTGCAGATACCAGGTCCGGTATTTCATACGGACCCAAACTAGGATGTTTCTTCCCCGTCAAAGGGATGCCTTCTTTTCTTAAAAATTTCTTGGCGATTCTCGATTAATCCACAAAATATGGCAGACATTCCAAAGATTGGAATGTAATTTGGTGCATAAAGGGAATGATTGTGCCAATCCGACGAAGTGCGTGCTTGGAATTATGCGTATTCAAATCAGTTACGTGCTTTGAATACACACAAACTCCACCGCAACTGTACGGACTGGATTGTTGTATAATGTAAGTGCACAAGTTTGTACAAAATTAGTAATTTTTCTTTAATTAAAATCAAATATTTTACTTTTCTAATGAGCAAAACACTCGATAAAGAAATCTCACCGATCTCCAAACATTTTCCGGTTTTTTAAAGCATACTGGCATCAAGTAATCCCTGTGGTTCTCTGTTTCTTTCGGTCTTTCTGTGACTCCGCGATTACGGTCTGGGCCTGCGCCAATTTTTCCATCAAGTGAGATGGTAGCTGACTGTTCTGGAAATATCTGGATAAAAGAAAAAAAATCAATTATTACTCTAGAACCCCAATGTAAATACGTATAAAATTACTACTTTTTATATTGTCGGAGGTGTTGTACTTACAATTTTAAGTGCGTAACACAATTTTAGCAAGTATTTACAAAATAACGCATTGTAATTGTTAAATTTGAAAGCATAATTGTCTATTTTTAACCGTTTGACTTTAATCCATTATCTAAGCGATTGCATACTTAATGTATTGAATGTTAAATCGGCACGTGCAGTATTTAGGATTTGCTGCCCCCCTGTTTTGTCAAAAAAATTATTATAAGAGCTTAGTAATTTCTATAAAATAACTGCAAATTTGAATTAATAATATGAGGGAGAGTCAAAAAGTAAGTTGCAATTGGCAAGAACTTTTTGTCAATAAATGATATTTAGATGAAATCTGGTGACAGGTCAGTCATGAAAGGTGTAGCATACTAATTAAAAGTTTTTGCAGAAACTCATTTCTTATGAGCAAAAAGGTGCAACCCCACCAAAATTTAATGTCAGCTGAAGGAAGTATGTGAAAAGAAAGCTTTTGCATGACAATGCCACGGCAAGCATTGCAAAGGCTCTACTGGAAAAAGTCAGTGGACCATATGGGAACATCTTCCCTATAGTCCAGTGATTTCCTTGTATTCGACTCCATGAAAAAGGACCTTTCGAATTGCCCTTACAACTCCAAAGTGAGTATAGTTATCACGTGTTGGACGGGAATACTTTCAAGAAGGAATAGAAAAACCCATGCCCCGCAACGATAAATGTTTAAATAAACTTTGTAATTATGTCAAAAAGTAGAACTTGGATCGTACATTCACAAATAAAAACTTTTGGCCCATACATTTTGTACTTTTATTTTTGGTACGAGTGCAACTTACTTTCCGACTTGCCCTTGTAATTTAAGTATCGACATTCCGACTGCGTGTTGTAAATATTGTCGCTTTTATTCAGAGAAAATATTCTGTCAATGATTAAACTTTTTGTACAAATTTAAAATCTAAGAATTTCGATTTAATTTGTCCAATAATATCGACGGATAAAAGAGGAAATCAAATTTGTAAGTGTTAATTTTAATTTAAGAATAAAACTTTGGTCTAAAAAAAAAAAAAAAAACTTGGCTTTTGTATTCCATTGTGCCCAATTGATAAAGGGAGTCTGATATTTTAGCTGCAAAATGCCATTTCTAGACAAGCAACATAGCTAGTAGGTATATTTTAAAAACTGAGGACAAAAATTGATGCCAAAGCTGGTCTTCCAATATCTACCATTTTGATTTTGTCCATAATCAAAAGGTAGACAACTTTTGAAAAATTAATTACACTTTTATGTATGCAATAAAAACATTGACTATTTTGATTAATAATTACAAAGGTGAAGTGCCAAAATAAACCAAATAAGTTGCTTAAAAATCCAATCACACAAAGTTTTCTATAAACTTAGTCTTGTGAATTTGTTGTAAATTAAGTACAATGTAATTTGTATATTAACTGCATTTTGTTATGCTATAAAATAAGGTGTAACGTATGCAGTGTAGAGTTTTATTAAAATATTTAAGTCTTGGCATTTATTTAATATTTTATCATTTAGACGAGTGGTGCCCAAACTATGCTCATCCGTCCTGCAAACATACTCGACGCATTACTTAGAAGTAAGCCCATTTCTGTCATTTATATTACGTGCAAAATATACAAAATATTTGTGGGTGGCCTGCCTGTTCACGTGCGACTCGGCCCACCATTTGAAAAGTTCGAGCACCACTACTTTATCTAAGGAATCTTATCGGATGCACTATATACAAATAATGACAAATATTTACCCAGGAAAGAAATAACAAATGACAGGATTGCAAATATTGAATCATTCATATGTATATTGCATATCATACAATTTTTCCCTGATCATTTAAAAAATTGTATGTATTAGATAAGAATTTACTTAAATTCTTTGTTTTTTGTATTTTGTAAAAAGTATGTTTATTTGATGGCCCACCAATTAAACTTCTTAGGGATAACCACAAATAAACCATTTGCAGAACAATATGGATTATTCAAAGAAATTTATAAAATCACAGACTTAGTAATAGTTTAAGAGTGAAATTATAGAATGCCATCTCTTATTTTTGAGTATGTAATTAAACTCTCTGATGAGAATTTAAGAAACAAGTTTCATCTTACAGAAAGTAGCATCAAATTTTGCATTCGTTACATAATATTCCCTAGAAAACTATTTAGGATACATAAGTTAGTGTTGTGTTTTGTTTCGATCACCTATGCTAAGAACACAAAAATGGTTTTAAGAACTGCTGCAACCATTTAAAACTGTAAAGTTTTGTATAGCAAAATTCAATTTTCCCTATTTTATCTTTAAAAATGAACATTTAACCATTTTAAGTATGTGCATAAAATAGTACCTTTTACACTTTCCCGATAAGTCTACGTAATCCAGAGGAAATCCGTCTTTCGGCAGTAGGAGACGGGACCCGTCGTTGAACTTCACCAAAACGGCTTTGCTCTTCAACTAAATATAAACAATTTAATCTTAAATTTTAAGATATAAATTGCCCCATATAATTCTAACAAACTTACAGTGTAGAAGTGACCAATCTGTGGAACACGCGTGCTGAAGATCACCGGGTCGGATTCGATCCCGCCGAAGGCGTTTAGAGAACTCGGACTTTCTGGACCCACGATATTCTTGTCCCGTACGCTCAGGACACGTGGTTTGCAAAACGAAACGTCTCTGTCGGCTTTCTCCTTTTGTTTGTTTGCATATTCTCCAGGAAGACTCATGACATTGGTGGAAACTGGAACCTGTTTTAAAATTTAATAATTTATATGATTTAAATCAAATGATACACGTTAAATAGGAATAGTGCACTTACAGATATTGCAAAAGAGTCTAATAAAGGTGAGTAAACAGTATCCTTGCAAGAAAGATTTTCTTTGTTATCCGTTCTCGTTGAATCGTTCTGCGAAGATGACTTCCTGTAAATAACTTAAAACTTATATTTCTTCATTCCGATAAAGCATTAAAATACTATGACAAACTATTGATGCTTCTTTAATTGGGCAAATTTTGCATTCTAATCATCTATGCTTAGCATAATCAAAATTTCTAAACAATAGAAAATTTAAAGACATTAAAAAAATTGTTGTGAATACAGTGTGAGTTTGTCCAACAGTCTCTGGTTGAATTCCAAACACACAGCTTGTGTGAAATCAATATCCAAAGATAATCCTGGGATAGAGGCGATTATAGTCATACCTCAATATATTGCTCTCCTAAATAGTACCACACTTCTAAAGCACTGAAGAGTACAGTAGACCCCCCTATAACGCTTAGATACGTTCCACGCTAACCGAAAATTACATTGTAGGAACGATTAAATACATGAGCCAATCGCAGCCCGATAGGTGGGAACTTTACGGACTAAGGCTGTTCTAAAGGTTTTCTTCTATAAAATTAACCGATTCTAGACTAATTCGACTCAACATTTCCAAAACACGTATAATTTTTTGGGAGTAATCCGTATAAACTATGCTATAAACAAAAAATTATAGGATTACTTACCGAGTGTGTACCGTTCGACTACGCCCGTTGTTCAAAGCTTGTCTTCGTCGCGGAACAGCACACGAAACGGC